CTTAATTTTACCAAGTGTAGAAGACTTTACAAGACGCATTCGTATAAAGGAAATTTTCAAAGATACTCGAGATAATCCTGACTTTGATATCAGATTTCATGTCAAAACTTCTAATTGGCAACCTGATCCTTCCTCTAATACTTTGATTGAAAAAGGACTTAGACTTGTCAAAAGTAATGTTATTCCTCTTAATCATCCTACACACTATCAACTTTATAACAATAAACTTAATGATATTGTGCCAAAGTTCTTCAAGGATTTTATTAATAATCCAGATATACTTATCAAAGCTTCGGACAAAAATCTTGGACTTACTGTTCTTGATACAAGCTGGTATATTCAAGAAGGACTTCGACAATTAAATGACCCCTGCTTTTATAAGCAACTAGACAAAAACTTCTTCTCTCCTGAAAACTTTGATTCTAGTATTCAGAACATTGTTAGTACTGCTAATAGTTTATTATCTTTACTATGTTCTCAATGGGGTACATCCATCTTTAATAAACAACATGAGAAATATCTTAGGCATCGACTCCTTAATGATAGAAAGTTACCCACCTTTCATCTGTTGCCAAAGATTCACAAGACACCTATGCAAGGTCGTCCTATTGTTCCTTCTCATAGTTGGGTCACGACTGGTTTCTCTATTTATATTGATACAGTCTTACAAAAAGTACTTCCATACTTACCCTACATTATTAAAGATACTAAATCCCTTGTTAAATCACTTGATGGAATTTCTATTCCTCAGGATGAAAGACCTTTATGGTTAGTTACTGGTGATGTGTCTTCAATGTACACGAATCTACCTACTACTCCATATGCTTTCGATGTTATTGCCAACACTGTTAATAAATATGTTCCTCTTTCTTCGAATGACCCTACACTTATTCGAGAAACACTCAAATTTATTATGGGCAATAACTACTTTACTTTTCAAGGCTTACCATATCATCAGGTATCAGGTATTGCAATGGGTACTGCATGCGCTCCTGCTTATGCAAATATCTTGATGCATCATTTCGAAGAACGTTTCTTTGAATTTAATCCTGAATTTAAACTGATCTTTTATGGTCGATATATCGATGATATCTTTATCATTTTCAAAGGATCTAAACAAGAACTTGAAACCTTTTTGTATACTTTTGACACCAAGCGTGCTTTTAGTAACAAATTAAAGATATCTTGGGACTATTCATTGACATCTGTTAGCTTTCTTGATCTTCATATTCATGCAAAGCATAATAAGATTGAATTGTCCACTCATCAAAAAATGCTTAATAAATATTTATATATTCCATTTTCATCTTATCATCCCAAAGATAATAAAGTTGGTTTTATTAAAGCAGAATTGATTCGATACATTCGTAACAGCTCTTCTTACCGAAGTTTTGCTATTACTGCTAAACAATTTTTTACTCGATTACGACTTCGTGGATATCCCCCTCGTTTTTTAATTTGGGTGTTTAGTCAAGTATGTTACGATGACAGACCAAAATATCTTGAAGATACTCCTCTTAGTACAGATAATACTCTTGTACCTTTTGTTACAACGTATAATCCAATTTGGGAGACTTTACATCTTCGAAAAGGACTTAGGTTATTTTCTGATTTAAATCCACACTACCGACCAGTAGTTGCTTTTAAACGAAATAAAAACATTGCTGATTTATTAAATCGTGCCAATGTACAAAAATTAACGGGAAAGAAGTTCCATTCACTACAACAGGATGGACTTTGTTGGACTTCGTCTAAAAAACGTAACCTGAACCCTAACCCTAAACCTAACCTTAACCCTAACACTAACACTAATGTTGATACCTCATACCAACACTAGTGCTTTGAAAAATTTGACCATGAAAGACCCCTCTTGGCCTCATGAAGAACAAATTTTTCACTTACCTTACCCTTACTTACACTGTGGACATTCCTGGTTGTAAGATCCTGATTATGCTTTCTATTAAAAAAAGAAAACTGTCAGAATAACTCCTGAAATCTGCTCATATTTTACCTTGTAATTGCCTCGGACTTGTTCTGTGGGACAGCGGCTTCTCTTATGGGAAGGGTTATAAGTAGTAAAATATATAGTGTTTTCAAAATAAAAAATGTGGGCGATAAAAAAATCCCCAATTTTTTGCAGGGTATTTATATATTTTTTTACCATTAGCCTCGGCACTTAACACCGAGTCTAAAAAAGGATCTCGGCACTTAACGCCGAATCTCGGCACATAACGCCGAATCTCGGCACATAAACGCCGAATCTCGGCACATAACGCCGAGTCTAAAGGGATCTCGGCACTTAACGCCGAGTCTAATCTTTCCTTAAATTTCCGGATCACGTCTTTCACCCGACTTATTCCGGCTTTCGTGTGAAAAAATAATTTTTCAAAAAGATATATAAAGAGCTAGTATAATGCACCTGAAGAAGCTACATCTCATTGTAGCGAATAGATTCAAATCTAAGTGTCTCTAGACTCTCAACTTTGTTGCTTCTTTATCGGTTTTTGGATATATTCTTATTTTTATTCCTATCTAACCCTAACCCTAACCCTATGTCTAATTCTAGTCTTTATCATATCACTATTTTTAATCCTAATATTAGTTCTAATCATAATTCTAAACTCTAAAATTAACATTAATGTTTGGTATCTCACATCCTTCACTATGTGTATTCCTTTATTGTGTCTTCGTGTTGTGAATTGTTGTTATGCATTTATGTATTCTATTTTTGCTATATAAATATCATCATGTTCGTTGTATAGCGGTAATTATTTTTTCTCTGTTATGTTAATGTATTCGCTCCGTTATGGTAATGTATTCGTTTCGCTAATGTAATATATTCGCTCCGCTATGGTAATGAATTCGCTCCGTTATGGTAATGAATTCGCTTTTTATTTTCTTTGTTTTTATTATTTTTATTTTTTTTTTTACTGTTCTTATTCTCTCTTTGTTTTTTTTTCTTTATCTCTGTTATTATTGTTATTATTTCTTTTGTCTACCCCTTTCCCTTTTTCTGTCTTTTTTTTGCCTATTATTCTCTGCTTTTCTGTGTATTTTTTTTTCGTAGTTTCTTCGTCCTTTCTCTTTCTATAATTCTTCCTATTCCATTTCCTCGTCTCTGTGTATTTTATTCCCTATCCCTTCCCTTTTTTTCTTGCTTGTTTCTCCCTTCTCTCTGTATATACTTTCTCTGTTTTTGTTATTCTGTATTTCCATTCTCTCTACCCCCCTTTCTCTGTCTGTGTTTTTGTCCACCTTTCTGTTTTTCATATATCTTTTTTCTGTTTATATTTGCGTTTTTGCTTCTCCGTTTTTTTCTTTGTTTGCTTGTTCTCCCGGTCTCTTCCTCTGCTTTATCTTCATATTTCCCTTTTCTGTTCTGCTTATATTCTTTATCCTCCTTCTCGAACCTTTTTCTTTTCGACTTTTTTTCTCTATTTATTCCTTTCTGTTTCTTTATCGCATTTTCTTTCCTTGACATTGTTTCTTTCGCCTTTCTTTTATGTTTGCCTATTTTCTTCTTTTATGTTTTTTTTTTTTTTGATTTACTTCTCTTTTCGCTTTCTTTGCTTCATTCCTCTTTTTTTTTGTCAATTTATTCTTACTCTTTTCTTTGCTTCTTATTCTTTACATTACTTTCATTTCTTTCGTCTTTTTGCTTTCCTACCATCTCCTTTTATATATCTTTTTTTTCTTTGTCTTATATATTACATTCTGTCTTTTCATGGGTTTCTTTGCTTTCCTTTATTGATTTTGCCTATTATTTGTACTTTTTTTCCTTACTGTCTCAATTTTTCTATCTGTTTTGTTTTATTTACTCTTTTGCATTCTTTTCTGTTTATTATTTTTGCTCAATCTCTCTCTCTTTCTATGTATTTATTTTTAGTCATTTTAATTCCTATTTTGTCGGGTCCTTGTTTATCCAGTATTCGTTCCCATACTTGTTGTTGCTTCTTTTCTTATTATCTCAGTCTCATCCTTTCCCTTCTTTGTTCTTTTCTTAATATCACAACCTTTTCTTATTCTTTTCATTGTTGCTTTGTTCTATTCTGTTTTGATTTGTTTCTTTTAATTGTCACTATTCATTTTTTTATCACATTCCCTCTTTTATATATTCTTTGTCTAATATCCCAATCTCTTCTTGTGGTGTTCTTACATTTTGTCTAATCCCTCCTTTTTTTCCCATTGTTTATTCTTCTGCCTTATTATATCAACGTTTGTTTTGTCGGGTATCATATTGAAAGCCCATGATAAGTTGTATCTTGTTCATCATTTTCCTCAATTGCTATTTTTCAATATTGATGAGTGATGTTGATGAATTATTTGAGATTTATGATAACATATCAAGAAAGTGTAATGCTAATTAACCATTGACGCTTGATAGCATATTTATAAGTTGGCTGGTGCTCTCTTACTACTGTTAAGAGCTTTCTATATTGTTTTTTAATAGTAAAACTGAAATTGATTATAACAGTTTAATGATATAATGATTTCAAACTATTTTTTTTACTAATTATTCCAGAGCACGCTCTATGTAGTGGTATATATGAGACCGCTCAGTGAAGCAATCTCTGGTGAGATAATAACTGGATAACATTTTCTATAAGTTCGCATACGCGAACTGGGCTATCTTAGGCTACCTTTCCCTATTTTTCAAACACCGAGGTACTTGGTGTCTGGGAAATGTTATTAGGAATGATACCTCATGTATCATGGTACCCAAGCACCGTGAGTCTTGCTTCTGATTGGCCATTCAAATGATACCTGTAATAATACGATATCCTATTCTTATGTATCATTTGCCCTTTGTTCTGATTGGCTTTTAGCATGATACGCGTGAGTCGCCCAGAAATGTTATTAGGCCAAACGGCCACTGATCGCCCCGACTTGGTTGCTCGAGTATTCAATCTTAAGCACCGAGAGCTGCTTAAAGACTTGAAAGACAGAAAGGTATTGTAAGGACTATTGAGTATCAAAAGCGTGGTCTCCCTCACGGTCATATGCTATTGTTTTTAGATGCAGAAACAGATAGATTTGATACGCCAGAGAGGATTGATCAGATCATTTGCGCTGAGATCCCAAATGTTGAAGAAGAACCTGAATTACATGCAATCATCACTCGCAATATGATGCATGGCCCATGTGGCGAGCTAAACTCAAAGCCTCCGTGTATGGTACAAGATGCTTTTGGCAATGATGTATGCTCAAAGAAATTTCCCAAAAACTGCCAGCCAGTAACGGTGACCAGTGCTGATGGCTATCCTACTTATAGAAGAAGAAGAGATGGTCGTTCTCATCAGGTGCGCGTTAAGGACAAGTTGGGTGTCTACCGCGATTTCCATATGACGAATGAGTGGGTGGTGCCATACAACCCTTATTTGTCAAAAAGTACAATGCCCATGTAAATGTCGAAGTATGTGGTAGCGTCCAGGCAATTAAGTACATCAACAAGTATATTTACAAAGGCTCTGATCAGACAACGCTCAAAACTACAACCACCACCACAGCCACTGAAACAGCAAATGCCACTACCACAGCAACAACTCAGAATGACGAAGTAGCCAAGTATCTAAATGGCCGTTATGTTAGTCCTGTTGAAGCTGCATGGAGGTTGTTTGAATTCCCAATGTATGAGGAAAGCCCATTTGTTACTCCACTTGCTGTGCATTTTGAAAACGAGCAACCTGTTTATTTTAATCCCCAATGGCCACAGGAGAAAATTGACAAAGTATTGAGAGAGAGTCGCTCTACTTTGATGGCTTACTTTCATTACAACCATGCAAATCACGGCAAACCCGGTTTTCGACCGTTGCTTTATCAAGAGTTCTGAACATATGACTTGGCAGCAGAACGCAAAAAAGTGGAAGCCCAGGTCTTCGAGTAGAATGTCAATTGGGCGCATGTATTACTGCAATCCTGCTGCCGGTGAGAGGTATTATCTGCGTCTGCTGCTCACAGTTGTCAGAGGAGCCATGTCGTTTTCTCATCTGAGAACTGTCAATAATCACGAGTACGCCACCTTTCGCGAGGCCTGTATGATGCTGCATTTGATCGAAGATGATGGAGAATGAACCAGAGCCTTTGAAGAAGCTGCTACCTTTGCCTCTGGCTACGCATTGCGTTCAATGTTTGTCTCTGCGCTCATGTTCAACTCATTGGTATCGCCTTTCAGATTTGGAATCAATTCTGTGAAAGTTTCTGTGATGACCTTGAGCATGCAATCGTGCAAAAAGGGTATTCGCTGCTGCTCAGCGTGCAACCTGACGCTGAATTTTACCGTGGAACGCAAAGTCTTGATTACGGCTTATATCTGTTGCAAACATCACTTGGTGCACAAGACAGATCTCTAGGTCAGTTCAATTTGCCTTTGCCTCTCTTCAACTGGAATGGCTTGATAAGCAGAATGACTGGCATACAACTCAATTCATTGATTCTCAATGAAATGTCATATCTCCAAGATCAAGAAGCCTTTTCGTATCAGCAAAAGTATGCTCAAATGAACGCTACCCAGAAGCACGTATTTGAGACCATCACCTCCTCCATCAACAGCTCACATTTCTATTTGCAAGGTCCAGCCGGCACTGGCAAAACTTTCATTTACAATACTCTTTGTCATTTTTATAGAAGCCATGGAAAAATTGTTCTCTGTGTTGCCTCCTCAGGCATTGCTGCTTTGCTACTTCCTGGTGGGCGTACGTCGCACTCTCGCTTTGCCATTCCACTCAACATCCACGAGCAGTCTGTGTGTGCGATCAAGAAGAACGATGACCTTGCTGATCTCATTTGAGAAACAGCAGTGATAATTTGGGATGAAGTGTCAATGCAGCATCGATATTGCTTTGAAGCTCTTGATAGAACACTTTGAGACATCTGCAGTTGTAGTGAACGTGTCCACTTTGGTGGTATTCCTGTTGTTTTTGGTGGCGATTTTGCTCAAATTCCTCCTGTCGTAAAACAAGGTGGCCGTTCTGAAATCGTTGCTGCTTGGTTGATGTCCTCAAGGTTGTGCCCCAGACTACAAAAGCTGAGACTTGCCAACTTCAATGATACGAATAGGCAATTTGCAGATTGGACAATATGTACTGAAGGTTAAAATTCTTGGAAGACCAGATGTAGTAGAGTTGAATCCTCGCTTTACATTATCAACATTGCCTGGTACATTACCATTTATTTTGACTAGGAAACAGTTCCCTGTAAAAGTGTCTTTTGCGACGACAATCAACAAGTCTCAGGGGCAATCCCTTAGAAAAGTCGCTGTAAACCTCAGGGGTCCTGTTTTCACACATGGCCAACTCCATGTTGCCATCTCGAGAGCAACATCTGCAAACGGTATGACAATTCTACTGCCAGAAAATGCGACTCGGACAGAGAATGTTGTCTACCCAGAAGTATTATATAATATAAATGCTGTATAAAGAAAGTTGGTCTGTAACTCCCAACTCCTGTCGTCTTAATCAAGTTTCAAGTCTATTTTTTGTTTTAAAATTTTTGAATCGAATATAATCATTGTTTAAAACCTACTTGATATACCAAATTTTTATTATCTCTGATTTGAAATGTCTTCGGCCAGAGCCCGCAGGGCGACGCCGACATCGAGCGTAGCGAGATAGATCGGCTATGTTGTGCCAGAAGGGCTACAACTGTCTATAAAGATTAAGGTATTCTTGATGGGTAGATATGTCTGTGTTGTGCAACGACATGGACAAGCTATGATAAGTGAAGTGCATCTCAGCTATCTAAATACTGAGGTTCACCAGATGTGATAAGCGTTGTACAAATTAAATTGCTACTTTGGCATTCAGAACTTAGTATAAATAGAATAACTCTTGTCTTCATCAATAAATCTTCAGTTTTTGTGTCTGATCTTATTCAAATAAGTCTTTTCTTGTTTTTATAATATCGAACATTTTTTATAAGCTACAAATAATAATCCTTCTATTCTTTGTGCTTAACAGGCTAGTTTCTGGGTATTATATGGCCTGCGATCTGATTGGCCCTTATCATGATACCCATGTTACCCGTGGTACCTGAGGTATCATTTCTGGGCGATTCACGCCGTGAGTCGTCCAGAAATGCTATTAGGTCATAGTTCTGGACCAAGAGCTGAAAGGTTTCTTGTCTGAAAGAAAAGAGACGAGAAAAAAAAAACAGTGTTTCTTTCTTTTTCTTCTTTACGAGGGACGTTCAGAAATTCATGTTTTTTGATATTTTTATATTTGGGGAGGCTAAAATCGTGCACATTTTTCCATAAATCGATGCAGTTTGTTGAGCGCTATAGTAGTGTATGTTTTACAACATCATTCTATTTCTAAAATCAATCTTGATCGAGCCAAAACAGCACTCCTGAGATGCCATTTTTGCAACAATGGTGTTTAAAGACCGAATGTTTTAAATTCCTACTAATTTGGCCTGATAGAGTCTTCAGCTTTGGATGAGCATTGTACCTCGAATTACTTATAAAATGGCTATTGTAGTCTTCAAGCTTTCTTTTGAGATGTCAAAGTATACTTACCCAAAAACGACGAGTTGAAAAACGCAAAATTAGGGTAGTTAAAAGCGCCCAAAAATAAGCCATTTTTCCCGCCTTTTTGATCGAATACCAACTAATTCTGCTTGTTTAAACGATAATAATAACATGTCCATTGCTACTGAGTGCAAATAATTCTTCCTAATCATGATCACATTAGGATAGATAAGCAACTAATAAATCGGATTAACCTTTAAGAACACAATTTAATTGCGGGATTACTTCAATTTAGAAACAAAAGGCAATTGTAAAAAAAAAAAAAAAAAAAAAAAAAAAAAAAAAAAAAAAAAAACGATAGAAATTAGCCAGTGGATTTTAAACCAAATATCCTGAATTCTCGAAAAAACAAAATCAGCATACAAGTGTAGAAATCACCAAAATATACATTTTTGCTGGTTGTATTTGCAATAGCAATGTTTTCCCTTCGCCGCTCCTGCAGCAATAAAGCATTCCATCCATGCGAGTGAGTTATGCAGGTAGTACTAACTTTAAATGAAATCATTATTTGTCAATGGTCTTTAGTAATTGATGCTTGTCGTTATTTTATCGATTTCGATTAATCTTTCTTGGTTGATATATGCCGTCAATCTGCCATGTGTTCACTACAATTTATATATCAAGCTTATTATTAGTTTTTGTTATCTACCAAGTTACCAGCCTTCTCATCCAAATCGGCATGACTCCATCACATCAAAGACGGAAACGATATTGGTTTTGATAGAATTGTTGGTTCTGTTGAAGTTCTGTCTTCTGGTGGAAGCAATGTGCGTAAAGAGAATATAGAAGGTGCTTTGATACGACATGAGTGTACATTTCTCAACATATATCTTTCATAGGATTAAATTGAACTTGAAAATGATAGCTTCAGAAAGCAAGCATCAGTATCAACCACGCTTTTGCTTTGAGTATTTGAGCAGACTTCCTCCAAAATCAAATCAATATGTTTGCTGTTAGCGCTTGATCCGTACATTATTAAAACAAATTTCTTGGTCGTGGTAAATCAATTAAACGGATGTATTAAGTTGGATCTTATTGTATATCGTGGCTTGTTAAATTCATGTCATTGGTGACTCTACAGTATAACTTGCATTCATCATATTCAGCATCATGAGCGTTGTGTTTAAATGCATGCTCATTGACTGCAACCCAGTTTAGTGCACAGCACCCATTATTTCTAATGACCACATCAACCGTTTAGATTATTGTAATTAGTGTCGAAATAGTCATGGTATTTACCTTGAATCACCACCATCATTCAGTCATCAATTAACTCGTATAAAGCGTTTTTAGTAATCGGAGCAAGTGCGAGAAAGATCAATTATTGTAACTTGTTGTGATAAGTAAGTGGATTGCTGCTAGCTACGGTTATGCTTTCTTGATGCCTTTAGGATAGATTTTGGAAAGAAACTATATTTCCAAGCTACTATTTTATGCGGTTGAAAACGCGTTTTTTCTTTTTGGCTTTTCTTGAATTGAACTATTCTAACCTCCCAAAACTTTCTTTTATTCACAATATGTAGGTTGTTTATATATCATCTTCTCTTAACTAACGTTTACCTCTCAATGTCGAAGAAGCATTATATAGAAAGCCAATTAGCTGATTTGAACCCCCAATCTTTTTACATCGAGTTCGGATTTAAAACGAGAGGGCATGGTGAACAGCAATTCATGCAGGTTGTTAAAAGAGTATATGATGAAACGGAAAATGACAATTTTAAGCAATTGTTGAATAACGAATTCATTGAAAACAACTTTCTGTTAAGCTTTTTGATGACTATATTTGCAATGGATTGATTAAATCTTCATTTTAACAGTGCTTGAAAGAAGAGACATATTTGGACATGTATTGGCAAAACACTATAGAGAAAGTCATCGCCAGCAGTAAAATACAACGAAAGACTGATCACGTGGTATCCAGAGAGAGACTTGAGGCAAGCCTTTTACAAATGAGCCAGCAGGTTAGATTCTGATAAAATTTCTGTATAGTTCTCCAGATCCACCATTAAAGACCGGCGATTACCTGACACAAACTATAAATCCAAAAAGCTTGTCGTTTAACTTTCTAACGTTTTATTTTACAGTCTTTCTCAAAACAAAATCATAGATCTCTCCAACAGCGGACATTCTTTAGAGAAGACAACTATAGCAGACTTTGAACGATTAATCAATGAGTCAGCATTCGAAACATTGCCAGAAGCCTTGAGGCACATCTAGACATCTATAGTAGCATGTATCAAGGAACTGGGGCAAAATCCATGTCAAGAGCTTTCAAAATAGAGGAGCCATGCTGAAATAATGCACCATTTGTCGAGAAAACACAAATCACTAGTTCATGAAGGAGAGCTGAATGAGCCCACACTACTTTTAGGGAGGATGAAAGGAACTCACTTTTTCTTTCCCTCTACGAGATGGTAACGGGCCGTTTTTATTCCTCTTTAAATTGTTTCTCTAATGAAAAGAATCCTTCTGATTGCATATTGGCTTACTGTGTATGTCTTGGGATCAGAGATCCATCAAGATTTTGTGGACAACGTTGACCCGAGTCAAGATGAAGATAACCCAGCATCTGGGTCGACACATCATCCTTACGGTAAGTTTTGCATATCTGGCATGAACTGCAAAAGTCAATTTACTCAAGAACCAACTAGTAGGGATACCTGTTGGCACATGGAAAATGATTGATCTGAGCACAGTAGAGAAAGATGAGATTTGCAGCGAGCAGCAGACATTTTGTAGTGTAAAATCAGTTTCTGGCTTTAATATGTAGAGGTTATTAATCTAGCATTGCACACACACGTAGAATGAATGTGGTGGATACGATTTAACCATAGTCAAGTGCGTTTTTAAAGTTGACAAACTATAATCAACACTAAATTTCTACTGAAAATAGCTTTTGCAATAGAACAACCATGGCATGGAACTGTAAATGTAAGGTAAATGTATAAAAGGAGGCTCTGTAAAGGGGTTTTTATTAAAAAAACAAGATGGTGTATTAGAACCATGTACCTGATACACCGCCTTACGGATGGCCTAGTACAATTGCAGAGTGTCATGGTAAAGAAACTGCATGTAACAATGGTTGTTCTTCTGGGTCCACCAAAGCAATCTGTCTGAAAGCATGTGGTCAGTACTACAAGTGTAACCAAGCAGGTAGTCCGCCTAGTAGTCTCCGAGTAGACAATGAAAATGATGTACCCAACTATAGCATTGCAGGAATCCAATCTCCTTTAAATTCCTCTAATGCAGCAGTGCAATGGCATATCTCTCTCTCCTCTTTTGTCCAACTATCCGTAGCGCTCACTACATTGATCATCGTCATAGTATAAAGTACATACACCTTCTTTTATTCGTACTACATCAAATGTCAACTAATGACACAACAGATACAATTGTCTTCTACGGCCACTGGTGGCTTTCTCTGCATAAATCTGTACTTTTTTCTGTCGCTGCTGATGATTGATTGTTCATCTAATTCATTGCCGTTTGATAGCCGTGATGTTTTTGATATCATTTCCGTTGGATCTAATAGAATCAATGTGTCCAAACTTGTGTCACTCATACGCCACATGGGTGGTTGTCTGTATAATCCAAAATGTAAATCACCTGCTGTCATGGTGCCTTGGTAAGGATTGGCTATTGCTGGCACGTTTTGACCAAATAACTCGTCGTCAAAAATCTGTATACGTGCATGTCGTTCAAATGCCTGATCTAGTATTGGTAAATGACGGCTTGATAAACGACGGTGATCCATGCCATTGGTTGAGTACCAATACGAAGCCATTGATGTTTTGTAATGATTGAAATTGTATGCAAGAGTGAAGAGAGAGTGTGTGTGTGCGTATTAGAGATAAAAAAAAAGCAAAAAGAAAGAGAAAGAGAAAGAGAGAGAGAGAGAGAGAGAGAGAGAGAGAGAGAGAAAAGAATGAAATCTTCCCCCTTTTTTTTTTATTATTGTGTGTGTGTGTGTTTTTTTTTTTTCATCCGCGTGATGTGGTTCACACTACATGTCGATCTCAAATGTCTGTTATTCGACTTGACCCAAAACTTGACCCATTTGGATCTTTTGTCCAGCAGTAACCTTGAACTCAAATGATTGTGGTGCTTCAAACACCAGCACAACAGTAGAACCGAGATAGAATCCGCCCATTTCATCGCCATAACGCAAGGCTTTACCGCCCAAAATCCTACTAGCAGATTTGTATGTCACTTCAGTGTATGTGCCTAGTGGGATATCCTCCTTTTGGTTGGTTTTCAGTGCTTCGTCAAAGTTGATTTTGATGGATCCGACATTGGTTGCTCCCACAGGAATCATGGAAAAGAAGCCGTACTTCCATTTACCAAGCAATGCCACTCTTTCATTCAGGACAAACAGATTTTGCAATAGATTGACAAAGTAGGGCGACACGGAGAACAATTCACCAGCGAAATGTCTTCTTGTTTGAACAATCCAGTTTGTGGGTGAATGGAACCTATGGTAGTCTCCAGGTGCTAAATAGACGACGCAAAAGAACATGGCATGACCAGGCTTCACCTTGTGCTCGGTGATATCAGGGGTAACATCTGCTAATTTGACAAGCGCACGTTCATCTTGAGGATCGTTTTCTTCTGATCTTGCTAAACCATCGGGCCCCACTGCTGATTCTGTCTTGACAGAGTGCCCCTCGTTCATCATATCGTCCAACGAATACTCGATGCCATTGACATTGGCAAATTCTTCTTCATCTACAATATGAGGCGTATTTCCCAACAGGGCACTCTCCACAGGTGATGTTGTTTTTTCGTCATTGCCCAAAAGTGCGTCTAGTTTGTAGGTGACGCCCTTGATCTGCTCGATATCCTGACCCTGAACAACACCAAAGTGCAATACCTTACCATCCGATGGGGAAACAAGCGTGGCATTAGCAATGGGTCTGGCTCCTTCCTTTAACTCTCGGTAAAAGAATGCTGACAAGTTGGGATAATCGTATAAATTGGGATTCTTCATTTCGTCAAGGTTACATCCGAAAATCCAACTGTACAGTTTGAAGCCAAAAGGACGAAGAGGCTCAGGGATTGTCAGCGAGTTGAATGCTCCCCACAGGCGAGACATGGATCTCAATGGCAAAGCAGCTGCGACGTGTACCTAAATAATTTCATTGTTGGTACAGCTAAAGCATGAATGGTCTGCCAAGCGTATTTACCTGCCAAGGGCCAGAGGCTACATATTTTTTTGGGTGTTCTAATCTATCTTCTTCTCTCTGAATCACTCTGCGATACTGAATAAAACCAATCACGCCGAGACCTAGTGCTACAGGGATTGGATACCACTTGGTCTCTGTATTGTTCCAACTGTCCACCAAACGACCCAGCAAAGGTTTCTGTTGTTGTTTCTGTTGTTGTTGCTGTTGTTGTCGAGTAGCTGAAGCGTGAAAAGATTTGTTCTTGGAAGCGAACCGTGTACTGTATCGCACCGCTGATATACTCGGCTTCGAAAGCAATCGAATGACCATGTTTAGAAGGTTTGAAAAGAGTACAAGAAAAGAAAGAGTGGGTGGAGGGGGGGTTGTAAAGTCTTTTTTTTTTATATGTATATACATTCTGCCGGTGTTGGAAATGCTCGGGTTGTCTTGAAGGCTGGATCGAGTTATCAGCCTTCACTCCTACTTACAAACGATACTGCCAATCCAAGTGGCATATAACCATTGTACTATTCATAGTTTTCAAGCCTTTTTTTTTATGCTAGAAAGTTCATCTTGCTGTTTTACATCGTCCTTGAAAAGGCTCCTCTTGTCCTATCAGCATTTCGTATTATCCAAAGCGACTACACCCTGAGGCGAATCATAAATTACAAAAAGACTATTGCTTTATTACTTTCTACCAGACACTTGTCTACCCTGAACATAGACATGCTTCAAGTTTTGTTCGCTACCATTGAATAGGAACTTTTCTAATTTTTGATGTATTGTTTCTCCACCCATCAAATCAACAGATCCACCTTCGAGATCCACCCAGAGCGCATCAAATGCCTTTCCTTTTTCAAAGTTACCAATCTTGTCTTGCAAGCCCAGTACCTGAGCACCTCCCAATGTAGCCAAAAAGAGGAGCTCGCTGGGACTCAAGGGTACGTAGTCCTTGTTTTTCAAGATATCCCGGTGCATGATCTTTTGTGTCTTGGAAGCGAAAAATGTGGATCGCACAGCATCCAGCATGGAAGGCGCAAATCCACCTGCGACATCGGTTCCCAAGCCCACCTTAACGCCCTTGGCCAAGAATCGTCTCACATCACAGACACCACTGTGCAATGAAAAGTTGGAGTTGGCACAATGAGCGATACCTGTCTTGCGTGCAGCCAGTAGGTCAATCTCGTCATCTGTCATGTGTACGCAATGCGCCATATAAGCATTCTCATTCAGCAGTTGGTGGTTATCATAGACACTGGTGTAATCCTTTGATTTGAATAGCTTGCATGTAAAGTCGATCTCATCATGGTTCTCGCACAAATGTGTTTGAATGGGCACCTTGTATTCTCCTGCCAGCTGACTGAGGCCCTTCATCAATGGAGTGCTGCAAGTTATGGCAAAGCGAGGTGTCACCACGGGTGTAATGAGATCAGACTTCTTTGACTGCACGTATTCGATAAAAACGCGAGTGTCAGCCAAACTTGCTTCGGTGGATTCAATATAGTAATCGGGGGCGTTTTGATCCATGTTGACTTTACCAACATACGCACGTTGACCTAGTTGCTGAATAATGTCGACCAACTTTTGGCAGGCACCGAGATGGATGGTTGCAAACCAACTGCAGGTGGTGGTACCATTGGAGAGAAAACGCGTAATGACTTTTTGATAGGCTTCGGATGCATGATCCACGCTCTTGAAAGCAGACTCACAAGGAAACACATGTGTATCCAACCATTCCAGAAGCTGGAGATCCATGCCAGATCCAGCAAACATGTACTGAGGAGCGTGCTACAGTAATTCAAATGTTGGTTGCGCGCGCACTGTTTGGCCTACATCAACCACTTACCGCATGCGTATCCACAAATCCAGGTACAAGGAATTGCTCGGCGCCCAGCTTGCGAATCTAAAAGCCAGTGAGTGAATGCCACCTGTGCCCAGCAAAACATGACTTACCTCGATGTCCTTGTAAGAATGACTATCCAGGAACTCTTGTAGATTAGTAACATCTTTTTCAATGTGAGCAATGACACCATGCTGATCAACAATTAGCACACCATTTTGAATAATATCCAGCTGTTTGATAGAAACAGAATGAATAAGGGTGCCATAATACAGAGTGTATGCAGGCATTATAAAAAAAAAAAAAGTGAAAAGCAAACAAAAAGTAACTACAGTCAAATTCATGCTATTTATACTTTTGCTAGTTGCCTTCAAAACCAAGCGATCATTGGCTAGCGCTGGTCACAGCAATAAAAGATACCTAGTATCATGAAAATAGGAATGTATGTGTGAAAAATAGCTGGGTGATAAGGTATATTGTATGAGAGTATTATTTCCGGAGGTAGGCTATTAATGATAACAAAGAGAGAGTGCTTTACACTGACCTGGATTATACAGCTGGATGCCAATCAGAGTGATGAATGATCAATCAAGGGGCCTACTGGCAAGATATAAGAACAGAACCACACAACTGGCCAATGTGGTTGTCATGAAGCATCTCAACTATCAATTTAAAAAAAGAGAGGGAATCGATAATAGAAGTCTGATCCATGATCTAATTTGATAATTCAATGGCATCAATCCGGAAAGCAAATCCCACATTTGACCCTCAACTAGTAAAGGAGAGCCAAGCTTTGTTCTCGAGGCAAAATTGAGATGGCCTCAACTAGTGAAAGATAGCAAAGATTGGAGTCAATCCAGGAGTTTAAGTTCCAAACCTTGGCTTCGTCTTTGGCTTTTTTTTTTTTTTTTTTTTTTTTTTTTTTTTGCTTGCCAATTTAATTTCCTCTGCCATTTGTAGAGCCACATCCTAGTGCTAATGTTGAGTAAAATCTGACGATTACCCTCTTGCATGTAGCATACTTTTTTTCAATACACTTGAGCTTTGCAAAATACAGGGAATCAGATTTAATTCAGACCATAATGCGCAGAGTGAGAACGAGTCGACGAGCATCAATCGGTAGCACTTGAGTGGAATTAGGTCCATTTGATTTGTATTGCAGGTATTTTCTTCAAGTAAGGCGGAAAATCAGTATTGGCAATGTTTTTACAGGCATTACTTTCTGCAACTTACTATCAGCCAATATGCCAACAACCACAGGCGAGGGAACCTTCAGTGCTACCAAGCTGTTGATCATCTTGTTCATTTTGTTGCCCAATCTTTACCAAATCAGAAGCAGGAGCCGGCGCTGAACACTTTGAGGATTTAATGTCTGTGACATAGATATCAAAGCGCTTGGATCTGATCTTGACATAGTAGAGATTGTCTGGTTTGAATTTGTTGCGGTCCATATCTCTATGATGGTTGAGAGCACAACTTGCTCTGTCATGTCAATGTTAGCAAATTATCAAGGGTTATCAAATCAGATGTTTTCCACCTACTAATGATGCTTAAACAATATTTTGCAACCAAGCAGTGACTTGATGGCGAATGACACGAGAACATAAACATGAATGTCCTCAGCATATGGCTTGGTGTATACGAGCTGGAGTCGTGGAGCACTAGGCTTATACTAGTCAACTGGATGCGACAAGACCCTTCGCCAAGCTTACGTGATATAAAGCATCCTTGAGAAAATCAAATTGCCCTTGCTTCGAGTGCTTTTTGCCTCCTGTAAAATACCGATGCTCTTGTTTTGCACTTGTATCCACAAGCCATTTTCAAGACACATGCTGGTTAATCTTGCTGGCCCCATAACAGTGATTTTAGGTGTGTTGGATTCAGAGAAGCATTTCAATTTAATACATGCCATAGTAAAAGTCTTCCTTTTCAAGATGAAAAATGCGATCGCTTGTTTTTCGATGAAAATCATGAGGGGTGCCTCATGCTTTTTTGGTCGAATTTTGGCCATATTTTTTGGGTTTTTAAAAAAAAAAAAAAAGTTGAGCAAACGTATCAGGAGGTTACTGCTACTCGAGTACAATTGTTTGGCGTCATTCCGGTGGCTCAGAAAGGCCTGCATGTCAAGAAATGATGGCTTGAAAGCTGTAGAATATGGCTATGTTTTTGCTTCATAGCTTTCATTTACACGACAGGAACCACATCTTTGGTAGCTGAATCTACTGGAAGGGCAGTTCTTCAGCCTGTACAATTGTTAATTCGAATAGGAGGCATATTATTTTTGGTAAACCTAATTCACGCAAACTTTGATGCGTTATATTGTGGATACGCTTATTGATATTGGAAATGAGAAACCGAGCTTACTGCTTAAATACTAGGGTTTTGCACTTTATTAGTAGGCTATATCAATTGAAACTGAACCGAAACTCTCCAGAAACATACACAAGTTAATAATTAATACTTTGAAAAAAAAAAATAGCAAAGCATAATGATAAATGCAGTTTTATACAAGAGTGATCCGATCTACCATGTCATTTATAGATACAGTCTTTGCATTATCTAAAACGGCTGTATTTTCACTAGTTTTATTCTCTTGGCCTTAGGAAAGCAAATGGTTGTGTGTTTATTTAAATGTGTACTATGTAAATGCAAGTGTGTTGTTATTTTACAGCTCTATGTGGTAATTGTCGTGGTTTAACGTGTAAAAGATCTCCTTGTGCTAGATCTAAACGGTCTCTTTTGTATCATGTTCTCTCCTCTTGTTCGACGGCGTGTGGAAGTCGGTATGATGGCATTTTTTGAAATGTCTGAAGAAGCAAGCTTGCCTTTATCCATGGAAGAACGATGTTTGTGTTCGCGTGGTATATTCAAGATGCCGGCATCTCCTTTTGCTGCAACCATGTAAGGCACCCAGGTCAATAACTCGTTTTTGGCGTATAAAGCTGGCTTTTTCGAGTCCTCATCATAATCATTGACTATTTCATATTCTCCCTGTTCCTTCTTTTTCAGCATTTCGTTGAGTTGTAGCGTCGCTATTATATCTGCTAATGTCATGCCCGTGTTGTTGCTGATCTCTAACAACACCAATGAGTCTCGCATGCCAAAAAGCCCGAGCACTCGTTCTTACCTTGCAGTGTAATCTGGCCTTGATGGTTGTATAGCTGCTTTCTGATGGCATTGGTCCAGTATTTTCGATAGCTCAGCAAACCCAGATCAGACAGTGGTTTTTCAGGGGATCCAACTTTTCCTTCTTTTCGAGACAACAAATAGCTAAAGTCAATCAGAAATTGTCCGTAGCCCTTTCGCTGAAATGCAGGCAGTGTCATGATGCAAGACAAGTTGTAATCCAACAGAGATTGCTTTTCCTACATGACGCAATATTGAACACTCAAGTAGATGCTGCTTGAAATCCAGTCGTACCGTACCTTTGAAAAGTAGCCCACAAAATGACATCCATTCTGATCTGTCTCGGTGAGTATATAGAATAAGAATGGCTCTACATCATAATACAGCGTCTTGTGATCCAGGAACATCTTGGCCAGCAAGCACAGATTCTGACAGTAAATCTTGTTCTTTCTTCCATCCACTTCAAATATAGACACAATGCCATCTCTGTATATCTCGTCGCCAGGTGGGTGCTTCATGGGACACTTGATCTAGCGGTTTGTAATCCATGAGTAGCGCGAACGACAAGTACTTGTGTGCCTACCCACCTTGTGTCGTTTTGCGACATACTGGCTCTTCATGTATTTGAGGCAAAACTCGCAAATGTGCAGCACACTCAACCGGCTGTACTCTTCTGGGTAGGGTGCTAAATACCACACATCAATCACATACAAGCCAATCTGAATCTTGCGTATACGCCCCAGCCCTTCATGATGGCGCGAAGCAAGTGGCAGAAACGACTTTGTTGGCAATGGCACCGTCTTTTTGCGTCGCTGCTGTCTTTGTCTGGTAGTGATGCTCTCGTTGGCAGCATATACTACGGAGTTTGATTGTTGGGCAGAGCGAGGACCATCAACAGCAACAGCAGCATGATTCTCTTCCACTTGATCTTTCTCAAAGATTTCCTGTATAACATTGCGTCAGTATGTGCAGCCAATGGCACATTGAAATCACTCGTTATACCTCTGCAAGCTTTTTTGCACTCTCAAAGCGGTCGATGCATGCTGGATTCGGCAGGCCTCTAGTGTATTTTGGGCCAAGAGGGAGGCTTTTGGGTTGTGCCTTGTATAACTTCTCTACTGAAGTGTATTGCGGGACTAAATTGGCCTTTGCAATGTCCACTTGAGTGTCGTCTTGTTTGTTGATTGTGCGCGTCGACGTCCTTCTTAGATGAAAATGCTTCTTTGAGATGGTCATTCTCGACACTGGATTTATGGTGACAGTATAAAAAAGTAAGGAGAAACGTGAAAAGCAACGAGTGTTTGCTCTCAAGTAAGCCTGCCTCCAGTGACCTTCTTTTTTTTTTTTAATTCTTGCCAAATGTCTGATGGGCCACCATCCCATAGGTGGCAGCCAAATGCTCAGGTAGCAGGGAATGTATGCCATCATACACATGTCAAGTGTATCTCTGCTTGGTATTTCAAGAGCTGCAAGACATGAGGACTTTAGATCATACATGTTAAACCAATGCTCAGGTACAAGGCTTTTTTTTTTTTTTTTTTTTTTTTATGGAGAACGACATGGCATCTATACTATACAAATCACCCTTATCATTCACTTTTGTCAAGCACATTGACCAAACAGCACACTATGTTTAATAGCAAGATGTGCTATAGACGAGATGCCATCTCTGTTGTTCAGAGATGCTAAACAGGTCACAATGATCCGCGATGCGCAAATCGCGGTAATGTAAATGTCTCAAGTTTCGCGTTTCATTATAACTGTGTCTTTTTTTTTTCTTCTCTCATTAGACAATGTCTTCTCCAGCAGCAGCAGCAGCAGCGTAAGATTGAGATGATGGCCCGTTCAACATGTACTCACAATTGACTTGTATATATTAGTATGCAATTCTGTACAGCACCATCAGACAATCATGCCATCTTAGAGCGAGAGCCATCTTTGTATGATCCCTTGGAGGAGCTCAAGCAACAACTGTTGATCAAAAAGCATTCGTACAAGCAACAATATGCCAGCATGTACTACGTTCGTCTACTCAAGATTCGTCAAGCATTAGCCGATACCTGTCGATCAAAATGGATGTCATTGCCTGGTAATATATATATATATATATATATATATATATATATAACTTAAACTACTCTCTATATATATATACTGAATGGACATGACAGAGAAACCTCAATATATCAGCAAGATTCTGGATATCCAGCCCGGTGAATTGTGCTACATGTTGGGCACCATCTACTTGGAAATGCCTGCCAAACCCAACGTCATGAACAATCTAGAAGACGACAATTCCATCATCAATCCAGAGACACCAGACAAGTACAAGAGCGATGCTGATATCGTTTCCTTGGAGGATGAGTCTGGCAGAGTGGAGATTTCTGGCAACTGTTTGGATAGAGAACTCTTGGTGACAGGTATGATTGTAGGTATTTTGGGCAAGGAAGTGGCTACAGGCGCATTTGAAGCCATCGATGTGTGTTTGCCTGGCATGGCAGATCAAGATCCACTACCAGAGCAAGGTATGTTTATCAACTAGAGGTGGAAAAGATATGCTGACTGCTGCTCAGTTGATGCACAACCCCCAAAGTACGTTGCGCTCTTGTCTGGACTCAATATTGGAGCCGATGATCAACTTGACATGAAGAGCCAGTTATTGGCAGAATTCCTCTCTGGCGAACTGGGCAGCACTGCAGATGAAATGTCCAGTTCAAGTATATCGCGAGTCATTTTAGCTGGCAATTCCGTAGCAAAACCGACTAAAGAAGTGAAAAAGACCAAGGGACCTGTAAGATTGTCAATAGGAGTATCTAAGCGAACGCACTGACACTCACTTTGACATGTTTCTAGAAAAAATACGGCTACGATTCTTCCACTTTCAACGCCTCGCCCATGCTGCAGTTGGATGAAATGTTGCAAGATATCTGTAGCTCCATTGACGTGGACATCATGCCAGGCCCAACAGATCCCTCGCCATTACATTTGCCACAACAGCCCATGCACACTTCCTTGTTCAAACATGCGCACCAGCTCTCCACATTTCACAGCGTCACCAACCCTTATTGGTGTAAAGTGGACCATGTTACGTAAGTCATCCAATTTCCAAGTACTGAATTAGCTTCTCACTCTCTCAATGGGTCGCTTAGTTTCCTAGGCACATCAGGCCAAAACATAGACGACATTTATAGATATGTGGATACAGTGGATCGCATCAAGCTGGCAGAGGTTTGCATGTATTGGAGACATATGGCGCCATCAGCACCAGATACCCTGTGGTCCTATCCCTTCAATGATAGGGATCCATTCATTATCGAAAAGACACCTCATGTCTACTTTGTTGGCAATCAACCTCAGTTTGAAGACAGTCTGTTGAATGGTAATTGAACTTGTTATTGCTTAGTGCCCTGTACTGACACGTTATGCATTGCATCCAGGTCCCAATGGTCAAACAGTGCGGGTGATTCTTGTCCCTTCCTTTGCAGAGACTGGTATTATGGTACTTGTCAACCTAAATACGTTAGAATGCAGCGCTGTACATATCAGTGAAAATGGAATCCAGCCAGTAAATGAAGATAGAATGGAGACAGACAATGAGTAGATGAATTGATGTAAATAAGCGTCTGCTTACGTAATAAAATGCTCAGTGAAGATGTTGGAAATGGTTTCACTCAATTACTACATACACTAAATTTTCGCCTTGTGAATATGCTCTGTCATGCAAAAACACATTGTAGATAACGTTGTTATTGCGAATCTGACTCTTTTCGTTGCTCTATGTCTGTATCAAGGAATTGATTCATATAACAATAGACGAGATACTAGCATTACCTCTGATTACGCAAAAGTAGGCATATCACAGCCAAATCCGGCTGCAATATAGTTGTGATTTCTCGCGCTGAAAATCGTTTTTAGGCTTCCAGAGTGGCGTTAAATAGTTGCTGCCATCCAGCGTTTACTTACTTGTACCTTTGCTTGGCTTTTTTTGAAAACAAAAAAAAACATGGCCGAAAACTAACCTTAACAAACCATGAAGGTACCCCCTCATGCAAAACCATCAAAAATCATACGATTGCATTTTTCATTTCACAAACGAACACTTTTGCTATAACAAATATATGATAAAAATGTTTCTACAGATTCCGGGCAACCCCTGAAACGTTATCTGTAAGACCTTGATATTCAAATTTTTGACATTTTGGCCCTAACCCTCATTTCATATTGTTATAAATTGCACGAAAACTTTTAGCAAAAGGCTTTTAATAGTTAGCGCCATTAAGTGCGCCTTGAAAAGTACTTTAAGAAAGCTTGGGGAGGTATGGGATGATCATCACCATTTATATAGTCGAATCTAGCAAATTAGATGGGTCAAGTCGATTTTGAATAAGTTCTGACCAATCTGAAGCAGGTGTTTGCTGAAGCTTTAATCGGGTTTGGCTGGTAAAATTCATTACTACTGATGAACGCAACCGTTGCTTTACTAGATGCTTTAAGAGGAGTATTGTCAATTGAAGAATACTGTAGCTTATTATGACTACTATCTTTTGCTTTTGTAACAAGTATTTATATATATGTTAGAAGCAGTTGCTGCAAAATGCCTTATCAGATGCCAAGCTCAGTGTGAAGCACATTTTGCCACTCTCTCCAAAATTGCAGATAATATTTCGAGACTGAACCCTACTTCACTTTAGATTTGATAGTCTTTATGGCAATGATAATACTTTGCTTGATATATCCCATTTTATCAAAGGGCTATGATCAATACTACCTTATACTGTCAGAGTAAATCAGTACCGTGCACACTGAATGAATGAATGAATGGCATAACAGAACACGGCTTCCACCGGGTAGCAACGATGATTGAAGATTAGTAAAAGTATTGAAACATCAAACTTACTTATGGCTTTGCTCTACTTTTTATCATAGCAAGTGCACATAGCATTGAACCAATTGACACATACAAGAAATCTGTTCATCAATTTGCATTCAACATGAAAAAAAAAATGCATAAACTTTGGATATAGTACTTGAGGCTTCTTTTGACTATGCATCATGGCGTATATGGCGCTATAACATGACATACCTTTGTCTGAATGGAATTTTGGTCCATGTTCGGAAAATGCACCACAAGCACCTTGAAATCTTCGGGCAAAGAAGAGGGAAATATGTAAATGAACTAATCTTGAGCACATTATAAGGAGATTGTTTGGTTTGAAACCTCATTTTTCAAATCAGCATGTGCATGTATGAGATGTACAATTACAGATACTTCATCAATATAAGGAGACACAGGGAGGGGAGGGGAGGGAGGACAGAAAGACAATGTGTCATGGAAGGGAGGAAAGAAGAGAAGAAAAAAAAAAAAAGAGGGAGACAAGAGACGAAATATTAAATAACATAGGCGCTTGTCAATTGATGGTGCCTCTCTCTCTCTCTCTCTCTCTTTCTCTTATTATCTCTTTCTTTATTATTCGTAAACAATGAAGTCGATGTCAGACAAGCGTTACTTTGTAGGAGGATGCATTGCATTGATCATAATGATAGCTTTATCCACCTTCTCTCGCCGCGTCAGCATATTATCCGCACTGAAAAGCTTCGGTCCACTTGACAGTAGTAGTGGACCAGCATCACGGTTTTATACGGCTGTAACTAAGCCTGCCAACTTCACTCATTGTGTGTTCATTTCTAATATACGTCCCTTATAGAGCCATTGCTCCAACATTGAAGACCAACCAAACCAATGTGCCTTTGTAAGGACATCCTGCCATGGATTTAATGCATTCTATCTCGAACTCTACTACTGCTCCACTTTATGGAAACCGATGATCATTGCTATTCTTGTAAGTATTCGCCCCTATCAACATATATAATAGATTGCCCTGAATTTATATCGACGTTACTTTCTGCCCCTGGTTTGTCGGTCTGTAGAAATCGCCAACTCACTAATTGTATATAGGTAACATGGCTATTTGTGTTGTTTGGCGCAATCAGCGTTGTAGCATCCGATTTTTTCTGTACGTATGCGGCGCTCACATGGCGTGATCATTATCATCCTGACCCATTACGCCCATTTTACTATGTAGGTCCCAACTTGCAAACGATATCAACAAAACTTCAACTGTCTGAGAGCATGGTAAGTGGAATGTACTGTGCAATGCATTCATAATACAAACTGCCTGTAGGCGGGTGTCACAGTGCTGGCTTTAGGCAATGGTAGCCCTGATCTGTTTAGTACATTCAGGTATGATGGTTCGTTTTCAGAGTAGAATTCACTGTATTAACCGCCTCTTAGTGCAATGGACTCTAGTGCTGGATCCATGGCCATTGGAGAACTCATTGGAGCAGCCTTTTTTATCGTTGCTATAGTGTCTGGATGTATGGGCATCATTCGACCATTTCAATCGCAACAGATCACATTCAGCCGAGATGCATCCTTCTTGACTGGAGCAGTTGCCATCATGACGTGGATCGTGTACCATCAGCAGATCCACTGGTATCATAGTGTAATATTGATAGGCTACTACCTTTTTTATGTCGCTGCAGTCGTGTTTGGTGCATATAGTAGCAATAGCAGCAGTAATGGCACTACTGATCCACTGCAAGAAAATAAGCATGTATTGCATCCAGAGGAATCCACACATCTTTTGTCTCATGCAAAATCACCCAGACTCTCCATTCCAGACAGAGGCTTCTCTGCGTCTGTCCAATCCAACCTATCCGAGTTGAACCATCTTGGTCATGTCATTCGTCCCACGTCTCTCAATTCTTCGCATCGTTCCATCTACCAATCTGCCATACCACGATCTGCGAGCACCAATGGCTCCATCCTCTCAACCACTACAAAGACCTACCGTCGCCCCATGACACCGAGAATTGGCATTAGAACATCTGTCTTTGGCGCTATTGAGGTAGAGTAGTTTATGTATACATCATCAATTATACACAACTAACATGCAGCTATAGTTTCAAGAGCAAATCAGCCACATGCGTCAATCCAGTCATAGCTCACAGCATATCTTGTCTCCTACGCATCATCATCATCATCATCATCAGCAGCAGCAGCAGCGTAGACATCGCCAACAATCGATGCCGCCTCCTATGTGGCAGACACTGCAGCTACCATCATCACATGACCTGAGCAAACGACAAAGGGCTTCTACTATGACGGATCAGCCCTTCCCCACAGCAACACCTTCCATCCATGTAGTGTCTCCTACCACTCAGCAGCAGCACCAGCATCAAGAGGAACAAGATTACTTTACATTTATCTCTGCACAGCATGACCAGCCCCTTTTTCATATACAACCTTCTTCCCCTCCTCCTAGTTCTCATATTCCTGAAATCAGACTGGATGTACCATCAACCACACTGCTTACACCAGAGTCTAGGTCAATACGCACACCCAGCATCATCTCAGACTACGATTTGTTTGTCTCTGCTCGCCAAAGCTTTGAACTGAACCCTTGCTCTGCAACCCCTTCTTTTCATAAGCATTTAGCAGACCATATCATGACATCAGGGATAGTGGGCCACGATCCACTCCAGTCGGAATCATCTAGCTTATTGCAAACTCTGTTTCCTACTTTACAAGACTGGCGCCAAAAGTCGTTGTTCTCCAAGTGGAGTGCTCTGGCAGCACTGCCACTGGTGTTGGTGTTTACACTGACACTGCCTGTTGCAGAGATTGGCCAGATCAAGGTCGATGACATTCAAGTCATGGAAGAGCACGATGGCGATCAAGACGACAACGACAACGACAACGACAACGAGGAGGAGGAGGAGGAGGAGGAGGAGGAAAGCACCGTCAACTACCTATCTATACCCACGTCAAAAGCAACAGCAATAGCAGAGCATGATATGCCTTTAAAAATCACAGTAGATGACATTGATACAAAGCAAGGATGGAACAAGCAACTACTCATAATTCAGTGTATTATTAGTACAGCATTCATTCTGGGTGTGCTTGCCGGTAAGTGGGCTACGTGGATCAAGCATGATGACTACCACACTAACCTGTCTTGACATGCATGTAGCCAACCAAGTGATTCCGTCGTTTGCCATCAGTCTTGGCCTACTGGTAGGTAGTATACTGGCCATCTACATCCAAAAGACAACAGCAAGCCATGAGCCCCCCTCGTGGTTTTGGACACTGTCTTTTGTGGGATTCTTTGTAGCGTTGAATTGGATATTTTTACTGGCAAATGAGGTTGTTGGTTTACTGCAAGCCTTTGGTCAGATATTCTCCATCAGTGATGCCATTATGGGGCTGACCGTATTTGCACTGGCAAGTAAAAATGCATTTCTGTAAATGGCTGGCAACTGACGGACTGATGTGTGAAACAGGGAAACAGCATTGGTGATTTCGTTGCAAACACAGCCATAGCCAAGATGGGCTTTCCTACCATGGCCATCTCTGCTTGCTATGCTGGGCCTTTACTAAGTAAGTACACTGAGATACAAGTGATCCTACCTACTCACACGCCTTGTAGATATGGTATTGGGTGTGGGCATCTCATCCTTGTATCAGTTCTGGAGAACAGGGGCATCTTATAAGCTGGATATTGCGCCTACTATCATCATTTCGTCCGCTGGGCTACTGACAGTGCTAATGAGTACATTGATTGCCGTCAGTATCAATGGATACCGCATTACCAAGCAGCTGGGATGGTGGATGGTAACAGTGTATTCACTGTGTCTTGCAGTCAATCTTGTACTTGAATTTCATGTTTTATTTTAATAAATGATGGATGATCTGTAAATTGATGGAATAAGGAGTTGGCCATTATATGATCTTCTCGAATTCGCATTTCTCCTCTCTTTCTTTTTTTTTTCATTTCTTTAACAGAGTATGAGTGAAGGTATTTCTTCAATGTGGAAACCGATACAATAGCATGTCATTAAAGACGGGTTGATAGTTGTGGGTCATATCAAAAGCTCGCATACTTGTCATTGGAGAGTACCTCAGTGGTCTCAGTTGCGCTTTGGTATCGAATACAGTAGTCCACCATTACTGTTTGATGATTTGAAATGGTAACTTAGTGTATACTGGTGCCCCCCCCCTCCTCCTCCTCCTCCTCCTCCTTTGCATACTAACATACACATCTAGGTCGATTAAAGTAAGGTGAGGCATCTTCAGCCCATTGGATACAACTAACAATTCCTTCTCTGAAGCTCTTTAAAGGCAAGATAAAGACCCCAGAGGTGAGTGTACGCATGTGTTAAATGGGTCTTGGTTCTGATAGTATGCACCAAATAGATGTTGTCTATCTATGTGCAAATTCACGAGACATCGCCAGGATCACTACGAGGCATACGTAAAAATGTGCAACTATCCATCAAAATCAACAACACAAATCCCTCCAGTTACTACAATGATTTTGGCGTAGGAAAGAGTAAGTCGTGTAATCAGTGGTCTCATGGATATCGTTGCTAATATGCGTTGGAGTAGGATTGCAGCCTGTTTGGTTCAGTGAAAGTACTTGTAGCACAACATGACAAGTGCATGCTATTCAAGACTAACATCTTCACTTAGAAAACACAAAATGGGGAGAGGTCTCAATAGGCACACTGTCAAGCATCATTCCTTTTCTCAGTAGAGACCAGCTCTCCTTATCAGTCACTATAACCATCCTGAAATCTGAAGTGAACAACAAGGCTGCCATCCCAACCATCACCCCGCCCTTTTCAAGGTACATTGATTCGCCCGAGTTTTCGGATGTCTCCTTTCGTGTCATTGAAGAAGATGAGGACCTCGAGTACGCAAACAAGCTCAACAAAAGAGACCGCTCCTTGTGCAAGGAGATCTCCTTGGAAAAGCAACAGGATTCATCGCAAGAGAAACCCGACACGAACAAGGTGCGCGTATTTCATGGGCATAAAAACATCCTGGCAGCCATATCTCCCTGGTTCCACATGCTATTCACTAATGGTATGCGCGAATCACTGCAAAATGAGATTACCATCTCGGGCGTCCAACACGATATATTCTATAGACTGCTCAAGTACTGCTATACGTTCAAGATGGATATAAACGGTGTCACGGATGCCTACGAAATGCTGCGAGCATCAGATCGATTTCAGATTGTCAATATCCGAGAGGAAGCACTGTGCTACTTGCGTCAAGAATTGGACGAGCATAATATATGGGACATTTGGGAGTGTGCCGACATGTATGGATGTGAAAAGACGGTGAATACATGTGTTTCGTATGCCAGTGTAGAAATGAAGGCACTGGTGAAGCATCCCTCTTGGCTGTATGCAAAAGCAAGCGTCATCAAAATGGCGCTGGACATAGAAGTAGGTGATTTGCCCGAGGAAACAGAGCTGTACGAAGCTGTCTTGGTGTGGGCAAACCAGAGAGGCGCCAATGTCACTATGGCTGCAGAGCAAGAGAAAGAACAGGCGCCACTGGAAGAGCCTTGTTCAAAAAGAGATACTGTGAACATGTCCATGACGAGAACACAGTTGCTGTCTTCTGTAGTCAATGTAGAGCCTCTAGCGATATCGGCAGCAGTGATTGAAGATGAGGAGGACGAAGAGGAGGAAGAGGAGGAAGAGGAGGAGGATCAGCCGCCAGTCATTGATTATAGCCACAAGGTCATTGCCATACCAGATCCCAAGGACTTGGAGGCAGATCTAGCGAGTATCTTGCAATGTGTCCGATTTCCAATGATGCCGCCGGACTATCTCGCTAATCGGGTCGAGATGGATGCATTCATCATGAGCATTGATGGCATGCGAGACATGGTAAGTCTGTGACCCATATCAAGCCCTGTAAAATGTGACACTAAACTCTTTGGTACTTAGCTGTACGAGGCCTATAAATACCATGCTGTGTTGGGCACCTCTTCTTCATTTAGATGTCAACCTCGTCGAGCGCAGATAGAGAGCGATGAACTCTAAATCAAGGCCAAATGACCCACAGTATAAAAAAAAAAAAAGTCCGAAAATACCCAATACTGCTCTTCCTCTTTATACTCCTTATCTCTTCCAAGTAAATATTAATAATAAATATAATGGATTCGAATGAATCAGATAGAATATTGCCCACGACAAACCACATCCGATATCAATCCATAGGCCCTATCGAGCCTGAAGAAGAGGTAACTAGTAGGCTTCTACGGCACTGTATCATTGATTCTGAATCCATTTACAGCCAAGCCCAATTCAGCATAAAATAGGCGCCATTGCACTTGTTGTCATGGCTTCTTTGCTGTTTGGCGGCGTCTTTGTCTATGGACTCACTGCACCAGATGTGCAGCAACCGGCTTTCAACAATGGCACACACGTCTTTGCACCTACAGTCATCTTTATTTCGTTGGACGGCACAGTAAATCAGGATCTCGAGTTCCATATTACACCTGTATTGAGCAAGATGGGTAATGCAGAAGAGCAGAGAAACAAGACACAGTACTTACGCACATTTATTTTATACGGTAGCGGATAATGGGGTTAGAGCAGAATACATGACACCTTCTTTTCCAGTGAGTATTCTTACACACGTACAATGAAACTCATTTTTATGCTAAATCCTCCCTCTCCCAGCCAATTACATTTCCAAATCATTGGTCTCTGGTAACTGGTCTTTACCCAGAAGCACATGGCGTGGTAGGAAACTACTTTTACGATGCCCACTTGAACGATAGCTTCTATTACAAGAGCCCTGATAAAAGCTGGGATTCCAAATGGTGGGGTGGTGAGCCTGTAAGTTTACATTTATGCATTTTTATTTTGGTTTACTCCCACACACACACATACACACATACATACACACACACACACACATACACACACACACACACACACACAGGCATATACTCACAAAGCTAATTGTAATATAGATTTGGATTACTGCTGTGCGACAGAACAAGAAATCTGGCGTCATAATGTGGCCCGGATGTAGCACAGAATTCAACGGCCTGCGTCCAAGCTACTCGGTTGCCTACAGTGATTACGTCTCATTTGACGATAAAGTGGATCAAGTGTTTGATTGGTTTGATCTGCCGTTGGAGGATAGGCCTCAGTTTATTGGATTATACGTACCTGAAATTGACCAGTCTGGCCATGCGTATGGACCCTACGCGAACGAGGTAGACATGGATAATTATAGCTTATGGGCTGATGGTAATCAAACTACTATAGACATTGACAGCATTGCATGTGGCCGATCAGAGCATTGGACGTTTGTTGGAGGGCTTGCAAGAGAGAAACTTGACAGACATTGTTAACGTCATTGTTGTAAGCGATCATGGCATGTCTACAAGCGACAAATCTCGCTTGATCTACTACGACGATGTTCTAACCAAGGAAGAGCTGGATTTGATCTGGACCATTGAAGCATACCCCACACTCGGCATTCGACCTCATCTCCACCTAGACCAAGACGAGGCAGTAGAAACATTATACCAAGCATTTCGCCGACTTTACGACTCATTAGAAACACCACATTTTGAGGTGTATAAAAAGCAAGACTTTCCAGACCGCTTTCATTTTCGCGATAACGTACGGATCCCACCTTTGCTGGTACTGCCTGATGCGGGCTGGAATCTAGTAACACACAAAGACTATCATGGTGGTGGCGCACCTTACCAACCTCGTGGTGTCCATGGTTACGATAATCTATCGCCTGATTCCAGAGCCATCTTTGTAGCTCAAGGACCTCATTTCCCAAAGGGTAAAACGATAGCGCCATTTTGGAATGTCGAACTCTACAATGTCGTGTCAAGGATCCTGCATTTGACACCAGCAAGCAACAACAATACTCTGAATGGTATTTTGGAACTATCTGAATAAAATGCATCTTGTTTAATATAACTTTGAAAAGACAAGTATTCTAGTGTCAACAAACAACAGGCAGTAATCATAAATAATGAGTTTGAGACGCTGTCCGTACTTTTTTTTTTTTTATCTTTATCTTTCTCATCTCATCTCATCTCCTTGTCTTGAAAAAAAAAAGATGAGCTTTTCTTCTTCTTCTTCTTCTACTACTACTACTACTACTACTACTAATACCATTACCTCATCTTTCTCTTTGTCATCATTGGCAGAAGCAGCAGCAGCAGCAGCGCATCATAGAGATCAGATATCGATACCTTCTTTGACCAGCAATGGCAGCCGCAACAGGACAAGATATACCTCTTTATCTCCTCCGCCTGCATCTGCCTTGAAACCATGCCATCATCATCCATACAAGATGCACCATAGTATGTCACATCCAGGCATATCTTCTGCCTTGATGACAATGCGATCCCCTCCCACTGCATCACATGGAAAAGACCATACCAACTACTGCTCACCACCAACATCGCCGTTGCATCATTATAATGATCATAAAAATCACCTGCATGATCCATTACAAGAGAGACGACAACGCAACAAAGCAGCCTCGGCCAAGTACCGACAAAAGAAGAATATGCAGCAGCATGAAATGCGCAGCATGATCTGTCAAATATCTGATCGCAATGCCATGCTGGAGCGTCAACTACAGGAGGTCAGACAAGAAAACCAGCAGCTCCAGGCTACGGCCGACAAATTACGCGGCAAACTGATGGCATCAAAGCTGCTTGATCAATGGATGCAGAAACAATCCAGGCAAGTAAAATTGAATCAAGTCGACATAGACACTGTCGTCGATTCCGACAATGACAGTGAGATGTCTGTGTATGATCTGTAAGTGAAGATATCAGGAGTGGATGCTTTCATTTAATCTCGTCTGTTTACATGCTATACACTACAATAAAGTTGCTTGCAATATAAACAAACAATGCTTATTTGACGCTTTAATGAATACACATACTAATATGCCCTTTCATTCATGATCCATGATCAACTATCCAAACGATACATAGCTCTCACGTCATTAGCTACTGTATCCTTTTAAATTGATGTTTACGCCGCCACAGTGCTTTTGAACGCAAGTTGGTTGTCTGTGGTTTTTCAAACCACTCTCGCCTTGTTATTTGCGCCCTGAGTGTCGAAACTCCAAATTGGACACCATATTCAAACGAATGGCAATCATCTCATCGTTGCCGACACATTAGGGTAATCAGGCTTTGTTGAAAATCTAACGCTTTCTCTCTCTCTCTTTCTAGCATATTTGATTCAATGCCTCTCTGAGAAGAGATCTGAGTATTGAGCTTCAATGAGTTCTTGGTGCATTCTTTTTCGCGTCAACTGTCTTTATACTGGATCGACACACGATGAAACGCGCATAGCTAAAAAAAAAAAATAATAATAATAATACCCCTTGAAACTTAGCAGGATGTCATTCTTCATATATCTACATTATCTATCTCAACGTTGACCTCTCGCCATTGCCGCGCTATGCGGTATTTGAGACCTATGGGCATATGTTTTGCCAATAACTTGACCTAGCTTCAGGCCACTTGATTATGAAGACAGGCCTAATATGGCTCTAAGTATAGAAACCAGGCATCAATTTCACCTTAATTACATGCTGGGTATTTGATTATTCAAATATAAGCAACACTCTAAGCTTGCAACTTGTAAAATAGAGCGTATCACCTTCATATCGCACAATTCACAGTTTTGTATCACAACGCAGTATCGCCATTACACACATCCTTCAAATGCGTATAAAATCGATAGAGAATGTGTGGTTTTGAAGAGATGCAATAGGATCAACCCGTCTGATGTTTCAAAATGGCGGCATCATTTGATTAAATCAATCAAGCTGTATGCCAAGTATGTAGCGCTTTAAGGCAAGGCCGTTTGGTATCTAGTTATCAAAGAAAGAGGACCCCAAGTAAATTGTCATCCTCAATGAATGTTGGGTTGACTAGGAGAGAGAGAGAGAGAGCCAAGATTTATTGTCATGTTGCAGCACCAAATGGAACTTCCACGACGCGACAAGGGTAGAGCCAGTCAACTCTAGAATGGTTGTATAACATATAATTTTATAACAAACTCTAAACATTTTTTTTTTTTCATTTGTATTAAAATGAATCTTTATTAGCTTTAAAATTGAAAGGTTTATAGAGTATTTACAGACAGGGGCCAAGGTGCTAGCTTGAACACTTGTCAAAGAAAGACATGGTCTTGGTGGACCATGCAGATAGCAGCAGAAGCTATCCAAGACTCCTCGTCTATGATGCATCACCAATAATACTCCCAAAGTGATGTGAGTATATATTAATTTAACGCGAAGCATGCTGCAAATATTAATAAACTTTTAGGTACGAAACGATATGAGCTTTGAATTTGGGAAAAGATACGCTACGCATTGTAAGCCAAGGGAGGAATCAGATATGCAAAGAACTCTGAGGATCCAAAATCAACAGACATTAACACATCTCTGCCAAATCACAAATGATAAAATAGTAAGACTTGCTGAACAGGTTCGTATAGCTTTTATACATCAGTGTGCGCCAATTCATAGCAGCGCAACTCATCAAATTCACAAACTACTTGGGGCTCAGAACTTGGATACAAACCTTAATAAGTCAACGAGCCAGAAGAAAAATTGAACTGAAAAGTGATGCTGAAATAGTACTGGGGTTGCATTACAGCAAACGGCGAATCTCGCATCCGACGAGGAAGTATTTATTGGTATTGAGATACTCGCCTATTTGCAGAACTCATGTCGTAAATCGAGCAGAGCTGGCAGATTACAAATTATGGATTTATCATCAACAACGGCTCTGGATATATGGAAACGACAGATCCCAATTGATCAATTTAATGCAGTGTAAGGTACCTCGTGCTGCTACTAGCACCATCACGATTCACCTTGCTTGGTAACGATTCGCTTTCTGTTTTTTTTTCCACCTATGCCAACTTGACACATTAATACTTGTAACAAATTTCACAACAATAAAAACAACTACCTTTATTTTTGCCTCAACTTAACTTACCTGGGTTTGCCTATTCGCCTTCTTTAATCTCTTTTGACTCTGCTTTATTTTGATATTATGTCTAGTACAGCCTTTCAAATCTTGAATAAGAACAATGTCCTACTCTATCACAGAATGTGCACTGTCAAATTGATCATAAATCTTATCATTGAGGAAAATTTTGCCTTATGTTTTTTTAAGAGAGGGAACACTATCGGATAAATTATATTTATGGAACAATACCTATCTATACAGATCAAGGGCACTATCCTGAATATAACACACGCACACTTCCTCCCTTATTTCGATATGTGGTCATTTTTGAACTTCTTCACTTGTACTACCTTCCATATTTGATAATTTTTGGTCTCGTAATCTTTCAGCAGCCACTACGGATCCGGTTCCAAAGTTCACTTATGCCAGTGAGCTAAGCAATACCCGAGATAAAGCGACATTACCAACACGTGTGTTGCGTGAAACACTGTATGATATTGAATATTGTAAAGACTTCAATCTCATCGCCCACAATGACTCTAATTTTAGGGGTGTAACGATATGGTGCTTGCAAGTAGCACAAAAAGGGTCCTTTAATTAGCATATTGCATATATTTACATATTGTTTATCCACACATCTGCAACTTGGATCTAATGAGCTCTCTGAATAGTCCCTTAAACAAGATCATACTCGAGAGAACCGAAGCTAGCTATTTGATAATCTACCTTGTAAACCCCTTGTTCATTGTCAATAATGATGTGATTGAACTAGGATGGCCTCAAAGAGAATTTTCATTCTACTGATCAAAGCAAATTGGATGGGATTCTTCTCAAGGTTGGGCACACGTCTTGTCGAATTTTCAGGACAGTGGGCAGTTTATTGTCAAAAAAGATGGGCAAATCAGCTTCTCTTTTTCTGGGCAATTTAACCACATTCAAAAAAGTGAGTGGCATTTCCAAACATTCAGTAAATTGAGAGTGGAAACACTGTATAGGCCAATTATTTGTAAGAAAGTGCCAAATTCAATAAGCTTGACTGTATGTCTATGACATGCAAATATCAAGATAAACCATCAAGTGGCATGGACATATGGGCATTTCAATGTTGAATTAATGCCCAATATATCAAGATCAGCTCATTGTAAACATGTAGGCTTTTGATATCGACACATGCTTTGGTCGCTCAATCAGGTTGGACTTGACAATGTGCTTTCAGTCATTGCTCCGACTGCCATTGCCTCAATTTTTTTTTTTTTTTTTAGGTTCGACGTGTGTCAAAACACATCGATATGTCATTGACATGTGTCGTATTATAGACTCTCCGATTCAATTGAAGTGATGTGTGTGAGTAAGCAACATGGTATGTCACATTGTTTATAGCCAATAAATGAGTCAATTCCAACAAATGCACATCAATAAACAACCAGTAAGTTGGGAAATGACAAGCTGTAGTGTGGACAGGGGTGTGCTTGTGTCCAGTGGAGCCTGTGAATGTCTCCAACATCATGTTGTTGAAACGCATGAAAGTGCTCGTGGTTCTATATTGAATCAGACACATTCCAATGACAGCTCTGGATGGTGTAGATGTATATAAAGGGCCCTTTTCTCTCTCCTCCATTATTTTGCACATACACAAACATAAAGCATGCCGCCCGATAGAACTGCAAGACGACTCCCTCTCCCTCGTCCGTATCCAGTACCACCACCGCCTGCTATCCCTTGTCCATCCAAAGATCAACCAATAAAGGATGTGCACTATTACAAATCAGTCCCTGCCATGACAAATCAAAGAGACAATGCTGCTGGTCCAACATGTCGACTATCAGAAACTATTTATTAGAAGGGTATATCAAACAAACAACAAACAAGCCAAGCCCAAACACCATAGAATTAGAAAAATGGATGGGGTTAGCCGACATCTCCCTACATGAAACGACGATTTTGTCTCCTATCCTACCATCCTTGTAGATATGAAATAAACTTTTTTTTTTTTTTTTTTTTTTTTTGACTTGATGTTCCCCACATCCCAAACCATTATTCATCCATGGAATGCAACGGAAGAGCTTGTGCCGGTTGGTTCAATCGGAAGAAGGACCATGTATTTATCCGTGAAAGGGTTTCTTTTAGGCGGGGTAAATAAAAAGCTTAATAGGCCCTATAAAGGGCAATAAGCCTTTCTTGGGTTTACCCCCCCCTTAATCTCACTAGGTATAAAAAGAGTGATGAAGTTTCTGCAACAGACCCCCTTTTTTTTTTAATCTACTTTTTCCTCTCTTATCCACATACACTCCATATTTACAACATGAACGTTGATTCAAGACCACCTGTTGTGTATCCTACATTTCATGACTCTCAGCAGCAAAAGCCATCCACACTCACAAAAAAAGAGATGGCCATTGACGATTCAATCTATCATTTGCTCTCCTTGTATCTTGACACGAATACAGGTGTGCTCATTCCGCCTGCAACAACACAGAATAATAGAGTGACGATGATGAAGCATTCGCCCTATTTTCGTACCAAACGAAGAATGCCATCACAGCAGCAGCATCAGAATTGGCTTGGAGAAAAGAAGAAATCCTCAATGACCACATGTACAGAGCTGGAGAGAAACACCATCAAGAATTCATACACGGCCAGCATAGACAATGTTGATATCCAAATCAACAACAATAACAAGACAAAGACAAGATCCAAATCTGTTTCATTCAGTGAAACAGTTATTGTTATTAATCAAGACGCTTTGATACCGCCAACAGCAACAGATGAGGATGAGGATTTGTTTGTGGACGCTCTTGAGAATTTCATTGAATAATCATCATCAGATTATCTATTTATTTATATATATATATATAGTTCATTTGTATATAGTACAACATATCCCCCTTCTCCCCCCCCCCAACACAAGCCCCATCGTAACCGCCTCTTTCTCTCACTCTGATTTCTTTTGTAAATGATCGCTCTATTCCCTTGAAATGATAATAAATTTTCGTATAACATTGCAACTCAATTGCATGATTCATATAGCCAAATATACATTTCGATTCGGACACTGAATCCTGTGGGTAGCACACAGCATAGCCTCATTCATCCAAGCCCATTACGCATCCAAGTCTCAAGCAGCAAGGCCATTCAGCAATATCATGTCAAGATTACGTTTTGTATTTTTGCAGTTTTTTTTTTTTTTACTCACGCTTTTTTTTTTTCACTTGCTGAAAAAAAAATAAAAAAGTATTTAAAAGCTAATTCTCTAGTGCTTCTTGCAAAAAAAAAAAAAAAAACCCATACAACAAGAATGCCTGCAGCTGCTGTAGTCAAACTCGAAAATAATGTAATCCCCACTAAGGATACAAAGCTGTTACTAGCTGGTGTCGTATCTATTCCGCCTGTTGGTAAGCAGAGCACAAGCACCAGCACAACGATATGCTGATAATGACAACATCTCATAGCTATTGGCGCATGGCAATGGGGCGATAAGAAGGGTAAATACAGGAAAACGTCATGACAAATCGATACCGCATTACTAACACTGTACACCTACCCAGTGTGGAACTGGACACCCGAAGCTGAAAAGGACGCTAAAGAGGCATTTGATAAGGCCTTTGAGTTGGGTATCCCATTCTACGATACGGCCGAGGTATATGGCGATGGCGAATCAGAGAGAGAAATCGGTCGTTTTCAAAAGGATTACTCTGAGCAAGATAAGGAAAAGCAAGTGATTGCCACCAAATACTTTCCTCATGAGCATCGCACTCAATTCCCAGATGTACTGTTGTCTGCTTTGAAGGATTCCTTGGCTCGATTAGGCACATTTCAAGTGGATTTGTACCAAATCCATGCTGCCATTCATCCTGTTGAAATAGAAGTTGTTGGTAAGTCAATAGTGTGTGTGCCAATGCACTAGTATCAACTCACACGCTCCCCACTAGCCAACGCCCTGGCAGATGCTCATGATGCAGGCCTGGTCAAAACTGTCGGTGTCTCCAATTACAGCAAAGAAGAAATCCAGCGTATGCACGCAGCCCTTGCAAAGAGAGGCATTGCTCTGGCTTCTAACCAAATCTCGTTTTCTTTGATCCGTACAATCCCTGAGAAATCGGGATTGATCCAGCTGTGCCATGATCTCGGCATTACTATTTTAGCCTATTCTCGTAAGTTGTGTATTTAAAGTTTCAAATCGTATCCTCATCATTTGCACATGCACACACAGCATTGGGTATGGGCCTCTTGACAGGCAAGTTTGGATCTACAGGTCCATGGCCCGAAGGACGCCAACAGACGTTTGAAAAGCTGGATACCACGCAATTGGGCCATTTGCTGGATGTGTTGAAGCGCTTGAGTGAAAAGTACGAGCGTCCATCCAGTGCCATCGCTTTGAACTGGTGCATTGTCAAGGGTACTGTACCCCTGGGCGGAGCAAGAACCCAGGAACATGTAGTGCAAAATGCTCTGGCTTTAGGTTTCCGTTTGACTCATGAAGAGGTGGCCGAACTGGACAAGTTCGCTTTCCTTGGATCCAATAACAAGGCGTGGCAGCATGGATAAAATAAATATTATATTTATATTTCTCTGTAACACATGAATGCTTATTTGATTTGTGTCAAGTAAAAAAAAAAAAAAAAAAAAAAAAAAAAAAAAAAAAAAAAAAAAAAAAAAAAAGTTGCACTCACTTGAGATGTTGGTACCCCCTTCCAATGCTTGGTGGTGGCCATGGCATGCTGGTTCAAATCCCGCTAATGCCTGAGGCAAAATTGTCCTCCGTAGTCTCAATTTGGCAAAAAAAAAAAAAAAATAAGTTCCTTCTATCGATGATTGCTCTTCAAGCACCATATACAAGCCCTGTAGATTTTTAAGAGACTTGGATACTTTTCTGAATTCCCTATCCAATGGTACTAAAAACTCTGCCATGTTTAACCAAAAATATTTCTTAAATTGGCAAGACTGAAAAACGCTTATTTAGTCGAAATCTCGAGGTTCGTTTCAATAAACATCTGAAATATCATTTTTATATGAGAGATCGAGCTCTGGGCTCCTTATTTCACTAATACATGTCTTGGTAAAAACCGCCATTTTCGAGGTGAGAAATGCGATTGACTGATTTTTAAGAAAATGTATGAGGGGTACCTCATGGAAATTGTGAGGATTTAGGTCAATGATTTCTGACCTAGAAAAAAATCGAGGTAATACTATATCACGCACGTACTAATCGAGAGACATCGTCTGGTACCATTCTGAGAACCTACAACAGCTTGTAGAAAGAGATATTGCCATCTCAATATCATCTCATTTTGCTGTATGTCGGTCTATTGCTTACTCAAGAGTGGCAGAATCGATAAAATGTGCAGTCCGAGTAGGCTGTAGACACTCATCTCTATGTTATGCGTTTCATAAACATGAGGGGCTGCTTCATAGTTTGGCTTTGAAGTGAATCAACAAGGTATATGTTGCACATTGAAGCATGTTTGCCAATACAATTCACAAGCAAAAACTGCTCCATTATTGATATAATCAATCACTGTATTTGGATCAGCTAGATTCACGTCGTTCTCTCAAATGCTCGAGTACTAGATGTATTTGTTGAATAGTCTTTTTTTTTCTTGTATCAGAAAAAAATCGCAAGACTGATCTGACGAAATCTGATTTATTTGTAGAAACATGAAAAAGATAGATGCGCAAGAGCAAAACAGAGCATTTTATAGCGACGCTCACAAGTCATTCTACTACTCTTCCTTTCTGAATCTGTCTATCATACTAGTAATTCATCACAGCTCATTGCTTAATCCTTCTAGCACCAAAAATAGCTGTGCCCACTCTCACATTATTGGATCCATCCTTCAACGCTTCTTCATAATCACCAGACATACCAAAGCTAGCTTCAAACACATCCAGGTTCAACTTTGATTTGATGTCTTGTCTAAGCTCCACGATTTTCTATAGAGAGAAAATTCATCAGCAACCACTCTGGATCCCGTTTTCTGTGCACTACACTACACTACCTCAAAATCAGGATTATTTGTTGCATCACGATCCTTCATGCCAATGGTCATTAAGCCATACAACTCCAGGGCGGGGCAATTCTCTTTAATGTGCTTGCATACGTCAAGGGCATGAGCAGGTTCAACACCACTTTTAGCTGTGATCCCATCATTGTCATGTCAGTCATATCTCTATATATATATATATGCAGCCAAACCCCCTTCTCCCCCCCCCCCATTGCTTACCTTCTTCTCCACTGGTATTGACTTGTACATACACCTTTAGCTTGTCTTTACGTTCAACAGCAATACAAGCCTTGTTCAAAGTGTCGGCCTTCTTTGCGCTGTCAATGGTCTCCACAATGAATAGATTTGGAATTCCTAAATGAGGTAAAATTTAAGTGTGTGTGTGTGTGTGGGTTTTTTTTTTTTTTTTTTTTTTTTTTTTTTTTTATATATACCAGCAACAGCTTTGCATTTGTTGGATTGAAGATGACCGATGAAATGCCAATCGATGGATTTAGGAAGCTATGATGCCATGGGTTTCAGTCCGTTTGATGAGAGCGATATTGTGCTGAAATGTTACCTTTTGGCTCTTTTCTGTTAATTCTTGGACCTGCTCACTGGATTTAGTCATTGTCAACGGATACCATGGCACAACATACATAGTTTTCGCCGAAATGAGTCTGGCCAGTTTTAGTGGCATACTCGATATCCTCGGCAGGCATGTATTTACTAACAGCCACTAGACGAGCCTGCATCCACCATGGTTACTATGGCATACGCACAATAGGAATGCTACTTACAGTGTTGCTGCCTTTGAGTTGGTCCACGGTGTGTCGAATCTTTGTGAGGTTCTGAACAATCTCTTGCTCACGTTCATTGACTGTAGCAGCAGTAGACATTGTACGTAATAAAAACGAATGAGGAATGAGTCGTTTGGATGAAATACGAGACAAAAGCATGTGTGTGTTGTGTTGTGTGTGGAAATAAAGTCAAATGTGAGGTTTTAAAATTGACATGACAAAGCTTGTCACTTTTTTTTTTTTTTTTTTTTTTTTTTTTTTTTTTTTTTTATTCAAATGAGCTGGTATCTTTAATATTCACGTTGGAGCTCTTTTTGCTTATTTTACCACCCAAACTTCTGAATCCTAAGCCATGGCCATAAAATGTGCTGTTGGCATTGCCTACTTGCAGGTTCTTGATGCCATGTTCAAATGGCAATCCAGAGGTGGTGGCGTCTTCATTGCCCGCTCTCTTTGCATAGCGCTTTATATCGGTTTTGGACAGGTTGATGCGAAATGCTGTTTCAAGCAGTGTGTTGGGCTGCAGGTATTCATGAGGAATGTGGAGCAGGAACGCCAGTAGTTCAGAATTGGTGGGGCAGTTGTTGAGCAGATGGTCCTTGCAAATGTCCATGATGGCAAGACTAACGCGATAAAACACCTTGATGCCTTTAGCATAGAAATCAGCACATCCATTGTTTGGAGCAACAAACACAACTCACCTTCAAAGTAGAATGCATCCCACACACGCAGCACTGAATCCCAAGGCAGCGTCATGGTAAACGCTGTTAAAAACCACTGTGCAATGTACATGATTGGCAGCACATCGTTGCTCTCCAAATGTTGCGCCAGCTTGGGGCTGTGATCTTTGAGCAACTGTCCAATGATATACGCATCGATCCTCAACTGGGATAACGTTGGCGTAAAATAGCCATTCATGTATCTATCAATGGTAGCTACCAACAGCCAAAATGTGTCCTCTACCGTCATCTGCATCAACATCAGCCCCGCCAGGCGACCCATTCCTTGACAGTACTCCAAATGAGAGTTGTACTGTGAATACGCTTTCAGCACCATGCTCAAATCCTTTTGACCCTGCCCGTTTTTATCCATAAATTGCGTGTGATCTGGGTAGCAGCGTGCTATGTCTCGTTCAATGACATGGTAAATCTTGGTGCGGGGCTTTTGGACTAGCATGTTGAACTGATTTGGCTTGCGATAGTCGTTGGAGCCAGCAAGAAACTGCCATACTCTTGATCTGACAGAGGCTGGAATGCCACTGCGCACCAGTTTCTTGAATTTAGCGTCCTTTTTGACAGTGCCCGCATCCAGCTTGTTGACAATGGAGAGCCACTTGAGCTCGTTTTCTCTGTATTCCTTGATGAGTTTGGATGTCATGTTGGATCGTATGGAGCCCCCGCGGGATCTGGCGTGGTTTGGCTTGATAACAAAACCGTACTCATCCACAGACATGTTTGCAATAGGTATTTCCTGTTCTTGCTCTTCTTCTGATGAGGATGCTTCTGCTGCTGGACTCTCGTCTTGATCTGTCGAGATTCTATCTGATTCATGCGACGCAACATATTTCGTGTTTGATTTAGGTAATGGAGGCATAGCTGCTGTTGGATAGTGTTGTAGATTTTCATCTTCTTGGTCTGAATAATTAATGTTGAAGGCTGAAGTGTCGTATGGATCGTCATTGCTCAGTTGTTGATCTGAATACGTGGATTGCTGTTGAATAGGCAAGTGTGAGATGGAGGATGAGTTGTTGGTGCCAAAGCTCTCGAAACTAGGCTTTCCCGAAGCCCAGTGAGGCTGTCCAACAGAAGAGTGATGTGGTTGCTGATGCTGATGATGATCTGAGCTGGAAGAGTAGGACTGTAATGAATCTCTAAATGTAAATCCTTGCTGTTGCTGTTGCTGCTGCTGCTGCTGCTGCTGCTGATAGTAAGGATGGTCTGTTGTGCCATAGCTACTCGCTGAATTTCTATACTGTGAGTGATCTGTCGCAAAGTCTAAATCTGCGTCTAGTGATTCCAACACACGGGGATCCAACTCGACGAAATGCACACTCTCAGCATTAAAGTTGCCAATGACACCCTCACAATATCCCATATAAATGTCATTTTCAATATGCTTTAGTACAATGATGCGTTCTCCTAGTATCGTCGCTCTTGAGCTTTCTGTGTGTGTGTGTGAGAGAGAGTGATTGTCGCTACTTACCCTGAAGGTACATGAGCTCTTGAGGCGTTGTTGCCAGCACATCTGCTTTTGAGACACAGGCACCCAATCCACCTAGTCCAAGGCACTGGTTAAGCTCGGGGTAAGGCCCCACTGTTATTGTGAGCTTACCTTTTTCTGCAAACTCTTTCAACTCTGACAGCGTCATGGTATCAATGTTGATGGGCGAGTTATCCAATGCTTCTGCTGGATCTTTGAGTAGTTGTGCAATCTTTTCATTCAGCTCCTCGAGATTGGTTGACGTATGCCGTGTTAGCTTGGGTTCCATGTTATATATATATATATATATATGTGTGTGTGTGTGTGAGAGAGAGAGAGAGGGGGGGAATTAGGGAGTAGTGTAAAAAAAAAAGAAAAAGAACAAGAACAAGAACAAGAACAAGAAGAGGGACACACACACTCTATTTCATCAAAAATCTTGCCTCGAAATAAATCAAAATCCACTCGAAAAAGGAAAGCCATCTTTTCATGTCAATATCCGACAATTGAAAAGCGTTGCAAGTGTAACATTAAATGTGTAAATTGTCTTTGTCGTGTGCCATATCTCTTTCATGTTGAATTGCTAGGTAGTGGATATATCACTGTTTATTTGTAGGTACGCATAAGAGTGCCTGTTGGTCTGTGTGCCTGGATTTCCCCATATGTGCAAATCAACAACTGGCTTTGCGCTAGGAGGCTGGGTGCTGCACGAGTCGCTTGTTCTACACTTGCTTTGAATCGACAAATATCATTTCAAAGCGAATTGTCCTTGATCACCTCGAGCCAAATCATGCCATTGTTACGACGGCACTTGTTGTGGGCATTTGCTGGTCGTCGAGTGGCAACCTCCTTATCAATGCATATTGAGTTTGGGTGCTGTGATACGCCTCATGTAGACTATTAGGCCAGATGGAATCATTCGGAGATGCATTAGTATCAACATCTATACGACATGTCCTTGATAGTCATCAGCAGCATTCAGAGTGATTTTAAATCAACACTAAACAACCACAGTAAAGAGAAGAAAGAGATGACGTTGACAATACTCATCTCGTTCTCGCTCTCGCTCTCGCTCTCTCCCCCTATAAAAACATGCTACTACGACTACACAACAAAGAAACATGTAACATTTAAAAACTCCACCAACTTGCTTTTTTTTTTTTTCTTTTCTTTCTTTCTTTCTTTCTTTCCTTGTTTCTTTCTTCACATCATTACCCTTATTAAACATGACTTTAGAGAGTTCCTCCTCTTCAGCATCAAATAAACAGGAAAACAATGCCACCACAAGCGACACTGAGTTGTCCAACTTCTTGTGGCAATCACCGCTTGTTTTCAACTGTCATTTTGATCAAGCAGCCAAGCAAGCCATCTTGCTGCGTTGCTATCAAGCACTGTGGATGAACGACGAAACCATCATGCAACAATGCTTCTTCCAATCACAACAAGACTTACAAGACTCGCTCTCGTTTCAATGTGCACAACACGACGGCAAGGAACAGCATGTTGTGAATGATCCATCGTTATGGCACACCAACGCCATTTTACCCAGCCAAGATTTATCAAGTCAAAAGGGAAGGCAATGCGGCCATGTATTCCGTAAAGGAGAGCCAGTATACCGATGCAGGTGAGAGTTGTTTACTGTTATGTGTATATATATATATATATACGAGTATAGATATCTTATGCAGCATACACCCATACACACTATAGAAACTGTGGTCTAGATGATACCTGCGTATTTTGCTCCAAGTGTTTTCATGCTACCAACCATGACGGCCATGATATCCTGTTTTCTGTCAGTCCTGGATCCGGAGGATGCTGCGATTGTGGTGATCCAGAAGCTTGGAAAATACCTCTACAGTGCAACATTCATACCAGCACTTGTCGAAACAACACGGATGGCACAGAAAGAGACGCATTGGACCCCAAACTGATCCACGCTATGCGAAGCACGATTGCGTGCGTGCTCAACTTTCTACTGGATACGTTTGCCTTGGCTCCGGACGAGGTGGCTTTGAACGCTTCTACAGAAGACTTGATGAGGGAGAATCAGGAACAACGCAACACTCTCAGTCGAATGGGAATACCAGCACAATTGCCCAACAACAACGATACAGACATGGAAAATGTCACACCACACACGGAAGCAGCAGCAGCTCGATTAGCAGCCGCACTCGGACAGGAAGAGCAGCAGGAAGATATTGACATGGACAAGGAAAACGCAGCAACACACATCAAGCTAGAGCCAGTAGACACGGAGCAAGAGGAGGAGAAAGACGGTGAATTGTACGCTTGCATTGCGTGGAACGACGAAGCACACGCCTTCTCTCATGTGCTCGAGAGTATCATGACAGCCACGGGTTGGGACTGGGATAAGGCAAAGCAGATTGTGGATGTCATTCATGTGCACGGCAGAGAAATCATTGCAGTCTCTCAGGACATTGCTGAGTTGCGCAAGATTGCTGCTCCCTTGTCTGCTATCAATCTTGGTGTCACGATTCGTCCTGCGAAAGAAACGTTTAGAGAGCAAGTATGTGGCTTATTGGTGGACTGGCTGAACGAGCTGGTCAATGGCAGATATCGATTCTTTCAACACATTGACAATGGCGACGCTGTGATTCGAAACATGGTGTGTGAAGAGCTGTGTGCAGAGTGGGAATTGCGTCTTCCTTTGGCTCTGTTGACAACCGGTACGCGTGCATCCAATTCAGCAGCAGCCAATCAAGATGGAGACGAGGACGAGGACGAGGGCGATATGAAAGATGACTCTGTAGTGGTGGTGGAAGACGTAGAGATGTTTGATCCCGAACCAGATGCACAGCAGTCCAGCAACAACAGTAAGCCTGGCAGTCCAGCATCATTCTCATCCAGCCCCATCATTTACCGTAATCAGTGCGATGTGGCTAGTATCGACTGGGACCCAGCAGCTATGGTGAGAGAGTATCAAGATCTTCGACACGCTGAAATTACTTTTGGGGAGTCGCTATTGGACGCCAATGCAGTCAGCGAAACAGCACTGGGCAAGAAGCCTGTCATGGAGGATAACAGCAAGCAAGATGCACAGGCAGCCATGGCCATTCAAAAGGAGTTTGAAGAGAAATTACGCCTGGATTACTTTATGCTCTATGATCTCAAGCTATGGAAGGAAGTGCGCATCTCTCTGCGTGAACTCTACATTGCGTCGCTGGCATCCAACCCGCGCTTCAAAAAAATCTTGGGCAAGCGTCTGGCCAGAAACTATGCTCGCTTGGCTGAATCCTTCTTGCTGCGTGATCGTGAGCCTGAGAACTCAATCATTCTATTCTCTGTGCAGCTCCTGACTGTGCCTACTGTCTCTGATCTGCTGGTGCACAACTACTACTTTTTCGGTCTCATCTGCTCCACGCTAACAGCCTTTTTCTTGACGGATCGCTTGTACCTCTTGCTGCCTTCTGAACGCTCCAAATACCCATCTCGCATCAACTGTGAATCGCGTGCTTTCCGTACACGTCGTTACTTTAACGCCTTTCATGATTTGCGATACATTATGAATGTGGAGATGATCAAGAGTGTACTGGCTCAAGACCCCTTGTACCTTGGTCAGTACCTGGATCTCATCAGTCTGTTTCAGGGCATGAACGCTCAAGTATGCCAAAAGGACACGCACGTGGAATACGAGTCTGAAATTTGGGTCAATGCCTTCAATGTCACTCTTCAAATCGCCAAGTGCTGTCGCCAGTTCTCTGACTGTTTCAACACATTGCCCTACGCAACAGAACAGGATAAGATCAGCACGGCCATCACAGTGGTAAGAGCCATCAACCGAATTCTGAAAAAGATCATGGAGTGGGGTCAAGTGGATGAAGCAGAAGAGGCTGCTGAAAGAGAGAAACGTCTCAGTGCACCTGCTGGCTCTGTGCCACCACAAAAGATATACGGTGCTGCTGCTCAGACATTCCACACCATCAGCCTTGGTTTCTCTGAGCCATTCCAAGTCATCAAATACAATGTGGCTACGCAGCCCGTCTCCTTCCATCACCCCTTGCACTGGTTATTGTCTGGATTGTTGGAATATGCCCATCTGCTGAATGACGACGTGTTGCGCCAAGCTGGCTGGGAAGGGGGTTTCAAGCAGATCATCACGCTGTTCAATGGCAACAAGACGGCAGCAGTAGCTTCACCCAATGTATTGCTCCCTATTTTGGACTACCCTGTTCGCACTATTGTCTTTTCATCTCAAATCAGAGCTGGCGTGTGGGTCAGAAACGGCTATGGTATTAGAAATCAGGTAAGTTGTGGTATTGCTCGCAAGTAGGGTCATATAACTCATTACGCGTAATTGACAGGCACATCATTACCGCGACATCTCTTTGCGTGAAAGTACTTATGACGCCGATGTCTTTCTGCTGCAACTCGGGTTTGTCACCTTGCCTCCCAATCGTTTCTTGGCCACTCTTTTGGACAGATTTGATCTCGTCAAGTGGTTCCTTGGCAACAAGACGCACGACAGTTACGACGCTTCACAAACCGTGTTTATGGTGGAAGAACTCTTGAACCTCTTGATTGTCATTGCTTGTGAAAGAGCCAACATTTCTGGCATGTCCATCACAGACAAGATTCGCCGTGAAATCATCCACAACCTGTGCTTGGGCTCATCTGCTTATTCTGACCTCACCAAACGCATTCCTGAACGCATTACTGAACACCCTGAATTCGACCACATTTTAGCTTCTGTAGCCCATTTCAAGAGTCCCGATGGCGTCAGTGACCACGGCTCCTACGAGCTCAAGGAAGAGCATTTCGCACATGTGGATACTTACTTTTGGCACTTTAGTCGCAATAACCGAGAAGAAGCAGAATCCATCCTCAAGGCCAGATGGAAAAAGGCACACCCACATGAAAAGGAGGAGGATTTCTTTATTCTGCCTCACCATGTCCCCATTGCACCGGGTCCCTTCCAGCACCTGGGCTCCTTTTTACAATCGACTGTCTTTGTTCAAATGCTTGCATTTGCTTTATGGAACGTCTATACGGGCGATCATCACAAGAGCGACACCATTTTAGACCAAATCATGTATCTCATTTTATTGGCACTGCAAGACCAGAATTCAGAGGATGTCTCCAACTATGGTCAAGGCAAATTCTATGATTACGTGTGTTCACTGCAATTTGATATGCAAGTGCCTTGTGTTGCTGATGCTGCTAATGCTGATGAGAAACCCACGACACGCCTTATGTCCCTGTTTGACATTATGACAGAGCTATATCCTCAAGAACAATACAGTGAAGTCACCAGCCGATTCAACTGGATCTTTGAACAACTCGGCACCAAAGGCGTCCACAACACGCGCGCTGCAGTGGAAGCATGGAGAGCATATTACGCTGCCAAAATGCAACAGGATGCTCAAAAACAAGAGGAAAATGGCGGTGTCAGTGAAATGTCTGAAATGGAAAAGAAGAAGCTGGCCGCTCAGGAACGTCAAAAGAAGATCATGGCTCAGTTTGCACAGGCACAGACGCAATTCATGGAGCAAAACGAGTTTTTATACGAGGATGAAGAAGAAGAAGCGTTTGTATCTGCTCCCGAGAACCCGGACACGGATAACGAAGACAACACCCATACCGAGACCCTTTTTCAATTTTGCGCTTATCCTACAGGCACGTGTATCGTCTGCCAAGAAGACGCCAATGATCGCTCTCTTCCCTATGGCCTACTGGGCTTGATTCAGACCTCCAATATCATGCGCGAGACGCCCATGGACGATGCATCAGTGTTCAATGACATGTGTCGCATGGGCTCCAATTTGGATGTGGAATGGCAGGACCGTCAGTGCATGGACGAGGACGACAGTGTTCCTGGATTCCCTGCGCAAATGCACAAGACTGGTTTATACGCTTCTTCCTGTGGTCATTTCATGCACATCAAGTGTTTTGAAGTGTATTGCACCTCCATCGACTCGAGACACTCGGCTCAACTGACGCGCAATCATCCTGAAAACAGGTCCAGAAAGGAGTTCATGTGTCCTCTGTGTAAGTCGCTTGGTAATGCTTTACTGCCTGTGTTTTGGAAGGGCAAAAAAGAGACGTTTCCTGGTGTACTCGCTAAAGCCAAAGATGATGATTTCGGCCAATTTTACAAGCACCATGTCAATCAAATTGTATCGCGATTGAAACACGTTATTGTTACAGCCTCACGTCATGCTCAGTCAAGAAAGTCTGGCAAAGAGTCGTCTGCTACAACAAGCCGCATGAAGGACGTCATGGCTCAGTTCTTGCCTGCGTTGCCTCTGATGGGTACTACTACTACTGCTGCTACTACTCCTGCTCCAGAGACCACACCTCGCGACTGGGCTGCGATGCGCTTCCCTACGCGTCTCCCCCTCACTACGCCCGTGGATACCGTTCCAGGTGCTGCAACAACAGCTACACCCACCAATGCACCAGCCACTGCAGAGACAACAGGTCAAGAAGGTGATCTCTACACGATCGCACAACAGGACGCTGAACAAGAAGGCATGCAAAACTTGCTTGCCTCTGACGCCATCCCATTGCCTGATGGTCAGTTGGGCCCCTTTGACAACGATACGCTCCACAGCACTTGTATGGTGAGTGCGCCTTTGATCAAAAAGTCCTATGAACGTCTGTTGGATGTCTTGGGTATCATTTATCAAGAGATTTGCACAGATGATAACGAGCGTGAAATGTCTACTGCTGCACAAAATGTCGACATGTTATGGGGCATCATGGGCTACACGATTGCCGGTGTTGAAATTGCGTCTCGTGGTGCTCCTGCTTCTGCTGCGAGTCGTGAAGAAGGCACTGCTACTCACACGCTATTCGATCAAATTGCTCCTCAGACACAAATGCTGCTTCGTATCTTGAGCGATACTGTCATGGCTTACACAACGCTGATGTGTCCTTGGTCGGGCCAAGCCAAATCCAGTCCTGCCAGTGTCTCTATGGCTCGTGTCAGTATGTTTTCGTTGGGTCGCATGCGTCAAATGTTTGAAATTGGTGTAGATGATGTCGCCAACTTGCCTGCGGGTCCTTCTCAAAAGATTGTCTTGTACGATAATGCTCCCATTTTGCAAGACGACCCCTTCATGATCTTAACCGAGCTGTCATTGCATCTGGTGCCCATGACTCAAGCTGACATCTTTCCCTTTGTGCGCACCTTGCTTTTGGCTGAATTTGCTAAAACGGCTGTGGGTCTCTTGCAAGACCGTCTCCAGCGTTCAGCAGCAGCAGATCAACCTCACACAGCGCCCAGCGAGCCCTCTCAGAACATTGCAGCAGCCAAGGCCTTTGCCTTTTCACTGATGAACAAGCTACATTTCACACAGGATGAAGCTGTGTCTTGTTTCCAAAAGTTTGCTAGCGAGGCCTCCTTCTGTGCTCTGCTCAAGTTCTTCGCACTGCCCTTCCTGCGCCGCACCTTGATTCTCATGATTGTTCGATTTGGCTTGATCATCCCACCTGGCACTGCCATGGAAACGGACCCAGCATCCGATGAATTGGATCGACTGATGAGCATCTTGCATCTACCCAAGTTTGCCGACTTTTTACAGCCTACACACATATCTGAATCCTTGTTGCATCATTGGTGCGCACAACATGTCCGAGAATCAGAACGTCGTATTCAACTGCAAGATGGATTATTGAGCTCCATGTCTGCCAGTCGGTTGATTAACATTTCACTGGATTTACCTACACCTATTTATCTCGTGGCATTACCAAAACGATTGGATCGATTGTTTGATGAAAGCATGAAGCGTGTATGCAAAAAGTGTGGTACAGTGCCCAGTGATCCAGCTTTGTGTTTGTTCTGTGGTACGTTTGTATGTGCACAGAGCTTTTGTTGTGCAGAGGATGAGGAAGGTGAATGTAATCTCCACACGTTAGAGTAAGTCGTGTCACCAGTGTGTTACTGTGTGTGTATGTGTGTGTATGTGTGTTCATATTGCTGATTGCATGAATCTTTTAGATGCGGCGGCGAGATTGGTGCCTTCTTATCTGTCAAGCGATGTGTATTAATCCTATTACACAATGGCAATGGCTGGTTTATGAATGCGCCTTATTTAGATCCTCATGGAGAAGTAGATCAAGGGCTTCGGTAAAGTGTCTGTTCATACTGCTACCCTCAACTATACTAACTGGATACCAATAGACATGGCAGACCTCAATACCTGAATGCTAAACGATATGCAGAGATTCGCAAACTGTGGCTCCAGCATAATATTCCCATTTATGTTGCTCGTCAAATTGAAGCCAACTACGACATTGGTGGTTGGACCACATTATAAATAAAGGACTTATTTGAACGAATATCAACAACTTTATTTAACAAACAGTAGTGGGTGCAGTGGCTGCCTTGTAAGCTAATCTCTCTCTGATTTTGGCTGTAATGATACTAGATGTCAGTTCTTGCTTTTCAATGATCTTGTAGTATCTGGCAATGAAATCTTGATTAGCCATATCATGAGCTACTTGTTTGTAGATGTTGATTAATTGAATGACATGCTTGGCTGAAAAGTAGTGCTTGGATTCTATACAAAAAAAAAATAGCTGAGTAAGGAGCACTTTATCTAGACCTAGAGCATACTACAACACTTACCTCGCAAGATTTGCAACACATCAATTAGTAATACAGTTTCAAATTTGGTGGGCAAGTGTTCATTCTTTAACAGGAGCAAGACAGTTTTGCTGGCTTCTTGCCATTCTTGATGAGAGAGGTGATGACGGAAATTGTAGTATTGGATGAGGATGGCATAGTGAGGACTGTTGTGCAAAGATGGCATGTCTGTGACAACATTACCTAATGTGCCTGATCTGAGATATTGAGAAAATTCAGCATGAGCTAGTCTGTCTAGCGATTTCAGATCCTGTGCCTTTCCGTATTCCACAGTTGCCTGGCGTATCTTGTGCTGCTTTTCGAATCGATGACCCAATCCTGTGTGAATGTACTGCTCCACTTGGCTCAGACCATAGTGTGTTGCAATATCAAGTATAGCGCGCATACGATCCTCGCTTTTGGCTGGTAAAATGGGATCACCCAGCAGTTGCTTGATCCAGATTTCCTTGTTGGATTGACAGCAGTTGAGATAGTGAATAGCCTCTTCCAGCATGTCATATTCATCGGCAATCATTTGAGCATACGTTTGGATACTGTAGTAGACGGGGTCAATGACATCTTCCTTGTCAGTGGCACTTGCCGCTGTTGTTTCCTTGCTCGTTTCCATATGGCCTGTGATGATCAAAGCATAACCCAAATGCGTATGAAGCCACACATCACTGCCCATTTCGTCAAAAGCGTCGTCAAAGCGACCCATCAAGAGAAAAGAGCAAGCATCGTCATCCGAGGTGTTTTGCACACGCTGAGCCGTCGACTTGAGAGTGGATAGCGAGCTTTGTGGTTTAGTAAACCAAGCAAGTCCTAACACGACTTCAAAATACGTTCCCTCCTTGGCAATGACTCTGTCTTCACCGACCAAGATGCTGTACACTGCCCAAATTTCTTCATTGATTGCCACCCTGCCGTCCAACTCGTCCAGAGTACATTCGTACTCCAAGTCCTTTGCTTTGCAGCGTACATGCCACGCAGCCCATTTCTCATGAAAGAGGGTGACATCGTCCTTGTAGTTGGACACAATGTCGTCCAGTTCTGTGATGATGTTGATGATTCTGCTGATGGCTTTCTTTTGTTGTGCACCTACAAAGTCCAATGCAAATGTCAAAATTTCAGTCGACTCAATAAAGTTGCCACGTAGTAAATGTCTGCGAGCGTATTCCCAGATCCATGTAGGTCCAATGGCGTTGTGCTCCTCCACCTCCTCATCCAGGTCCTGAGCTCTGGCTTCTTCCACGTCGGGCAAAGGTTCGTAGCTGTTGAGCCAGTCTCCCACTGAGCAAAGCAGATGTGTGTTCTCCATGGAAAAGTAGAGCCTTTGACACAAGTCCCATATGCGTGTGTATTTTTCTGCTTCTGTATAGCTGTATGTCATTTCAACAAACTGAGATAGAGTGGCAATGACATCTCTGTCTTCGATCATTGTATCTTGTGATAGGCTGGACCGATTCGACTCGAGTAGTTTTCGTAATTGAGCAAATATCTTGTACGAGGCACGATAAAACTATAGAGTGGCCAGTTAAAAGCAGTGTCCAAAGATATCTCATTTTATGTGCTATTTACTTGTTCTTTAGAGTCATTTTTTTGCAGGTTGATTGCCCCCAATGCTTGACTCAGCAAGTCTTGATTTGGAGTGTCAGATCCCTAGTGTCAGTGTGAGTATGTGAGTATGTGCTCTCTCTCTATATATATATATACTTTTCAGGCTGTATTGACTCACATTGACAGTTTGAGTTTGTTGTTGGCCTGTCTCTCTTTCTGAATCGAGGTCGAGGTAGGAATCCTAATACCAACGTGGTCAACAGTTGATTTAGCAAAACAACAAGGTCCATCCCAGGAGTCAATACAATACTCTCTTATCAGCGTCATTGTCAGCAGGTAAACTGTTGTACGGCATTTTGCGCGTGTAGATTTATTGATGAAATAAAGTTAGGAAACTGAACAAAAGGTTCAAAATGTATAAAACGCCAGATTAAATATAAGCATTTGAAAAAGAAAAAAAAAAGAAAAAAAAAAGTAGTCTCCCCTAGCGTCACATTTTCATGCTACACATCAATTTCAAAGTTGGTGATCTGTGGCAAGTAGGCACAAGCACTCAGTTCCAACATGTACACATCATCAAATACATTTCTGCCGTCATAGCCACCCAAAATATACAGCCTAGAGTCATGCAGCACACAGGTATGGTATCCTCTAGGGCTGGGTGCTCCTCCATAGATCTTTCTCGTCTCCCAGCTCATGGTCACTGTACAAATATCAGATGAAATGTAATCAACGCTCGACTTCTGCACTCACCTAGATTCAATAGTAGCACATCACTGGAGTACCTACTGCCATCATGGCCGCCAATGACAAAGACATAAGATCCAACTTGCGTTGCGGAATGGGCTAATCTAGGTACTGCACGATCCAGATCAATTTGACTCCAACGGTTAAACACTGCATTGAATGCTCAATTTAGACAACATGTAATACACTACCAAACAACACTACTTACCGAGATCCAACACATAAACATCGCTAAAGCACTCGTGGCCATCACTGCCGCCATAGACTATCAGTTTGTCCTTGACCAGGTTGCTTGTGTGATATCCTCGTGCGATAGGTGGATTCCCTTCTGGATTAAGTAGCGACCATTTGGGTAAATGTGGATCAGAGACATCCAGCATATGCACGTCCGCCAGCGCACGCGCACCATCGCCACCGCCTACAATGATGATTTTCTGATTCCATATGCATGTTGTATGAGCTCGTCTTGGAGATGGTGCTTCGCCCTCTGTCTTTGGCTTTGACCATGTCAATGTGTCCACATTCAATACATAGAGATCGTTGAAATAGTTGGGTCCATCGCCTCCGCCAAATACATACAAACTGTACGACTTTTTGCCTCCCCCAATATCGCGCTCTACTGTTGTGCATGAATGTGCTCTACATGGTGGCGGTGTTTCTCCAAATGTATGAGGTTTTGACCAAGTCAAAGTATCTAGAGTGTCAGATTTAGCATGTGGATCCGTTTCAAACCGAAGTCAACTTACCCATATCAAGCACATACAGTGTGTTGAAGCAAGTCTTCATGTCACATCCGCCAAACACATACAAGTATTCACCTATGAGATTGGACGAATGTGCTCGCAGAGGTCGCGAAGGACATCTACCGTAGGTTAACGCACGTGACCAATACATGCCAGCAGCTGGGGCAGGTGGTACATTCGGACCAACGCTCAATTCAATCGCTGCTGCCATTTGATCTGACATATGGATAGGCCGTTTGGCCGGTTTATGGTGATGGTGATGGTGATGGTGGTTGTGATGATGATTTTGCTGATTATTAATATTATAGTTATTAGTGTTCTTGTTCGTACTGGTACTGATAGGTGTTGAATTAGTTGAATTGGTATTATTGGATGTTGTATGGATAATTTGATTGCTGTTTAAATCATAACGCTGTCTACTTGGTACCGTTGAAAGCGGCATATCTTGACGTAATCGACTCACTGACGAGGAAGGTGGATAAGGCACTACCAGATACAAAAATGGTTAGTCAAAGAATACATGCACCATCATGTTGCACTTGTTTTACTGTTGGGAGGAGGTGGTGGCGGCATCGATGTGTCAATGTAGTCATATCGTGTAGGCGAGTTGGGCATGGAATTCAGTGCTGCTGTTGCTGCTGGCTCGATACCATTTGACGGGATGCCTTGCTCTGGCGGGAGAGTAGGAGATTCAGGACGATCAAAGCTATGACAACAGCATTAAATGGATGACAGATACCGCTTGTACCGGCATGTATTACCTTTCAATTGAATTCATGGTAGTACTTGGATTCATACTCGTATAGGAAGGCGAAGCAACTGGCTTGACTGGCTGAGATTGTTCATGATAGCTGTTAGGAGAGGAAGGTGCTGATGAAGTTGTTTCATATGCCTGACTCATCCATGCGATAGGAGCTGTTGGATTAGACGCTTTCTGCCTGTTTGACATGTCTCAATTCAGTATAGAATGAATATAGACAGAAACAGAAAAAAAAAAAAAAGGCTCAAATATCCAACCAAGGCTTTTTATAGGAATAAACAATTTACTATGGTGACATCACTTGAGGCGCTTCACCCGCAAAGTTTTCTTGATAAAACGGAGTTGGCCGATCTTGATCTTTCATTGACATTGCTCTTTCTCCATTTTTTTTTTTTTTTCAATTACTACCGCACATGTCAAGTAAAACACTCAATAATACCAAAGGAGAGCAGCTTACCATCTTGCGTATTAAGCGTAAAAGAACGGAAGAGCCTTTAGATGCATTGCGTATGTAAAAATGTGCTGCGCTGTAACTCAAGTTTTCTTGCAATAACATGTTGCATAAATACACCTAGTGGTTCATCAAGAAAACGAAAAACGCATAAAGAAGAATAACGAAAAGCAAAAGAGCGTCTTGAGTGGTAATTACTTGCATCCTCCTCACACACACACACATACACACACACACACACACACACACGGGTTGAATATCATGTATACTGAAATCACCCATTATTTGTTTTTTTCTTAGTATCTGCTACTGCTCTTCCTACCTTATTTCGTCTCGCCGAAACTGTGGAGCAGAAGAGTTTTTCAAATCTGGATGAGGCAAAGAAGCTCAAGGTAGACTATCAGCCCGACCTGGCGCATACTCGATTCATAGAAATAACGCCTGTTCACTAGGATCGTATCTCGAGACGTATTCAGCCCGGCACAAGTAGACCACAGACGCCTACTTCCATTGAAGATCGAAAGGACCGTCTCGTCAGAGAACAAAAGGTTTGTATTCCATCACGTCCTTTTTAAGCACTATTTGTAGTGACACAAATCCAACATCAGGATGCATCGCATAAAGCAAGATATAGAGTCATTCAGCAAAACAGATCCAAGGTGGATGAGGATGCTCCCCCAGTGTAAGGCATAACCAGCGTAAATACGACTTATGGATTCTCACGCGAGCATTTAGTGTACAAAGCTCCTCCGAGAAAGCAGCAAAGGACTTGTTTCAAATGTACGAAGCAGTGAAAGACGAAGACACTTCAAAACAAGCAAAGTAAATATATGGGATGTGACATTGGAAGCGATCGAAATCTGACCTGCTGCTGATGTGACAGATTGTTTGTGGATGATGACATTGAAGATCCTGATGATATAATGTGCAACTTTATCCCTATGGTGAAGGAGTACCTGACACGTAAGTCATGGGTTCATAAAGACAGATGCATGTCACTTATCAAAACATGATAGTACAAGAGAAGGAAGAAGATAAGGAAGACGATTATGTATACGATGTTTATTATAGAGATGATGAAAATATTGAACAAAGCATGACCTCTATGAATGTCGGTTCGCTGGTTTGGTTTGACGAACAATCCGAGTATTTGGATGATGATTCGGACAGCGAGCTTGGAGACTATGCGGATGAAGACTCTAATGGTAAACATCTCAACCATGTAGCGATGGAATCATTTCTCATATCAACTACCACTTTATTGTAGCTGAGGACTATTATCAAAATGATTACCCCGAAGAGGAGGACAGCGATGAATTTGAAGATCGTAAGTAGAAGCAACCTGAATTGTAGGGAATTTATCTCAATTGACATTTCATTTTGAAGAGCACGATTATGATCTGTCGAGTGACGATGAAGATTACGTCTTGTAATAGCAAAAAAGAAAAAAGAAAAACTTACCATGTACAATAAATGTAAACGTTCTCTTTCTTCTCCTTTGCATACAGCATCTGGTTGACGCTTGAGGTGTAAAAGACACAATTTTATCGGATGTACGAGATGGATCAAATAGTGTTTTGGTATCTCGGCTATTGTATTATGTATACATGAGTTGCCAAGAAAGATGATGGCAAACGGAAGAATGGCAACAAGGAGAAGGGATATGCAACAGAACGTTTGATTTATATCAAGGGAATATTTGCTTTAGCTTGCTAAATGCGGTATCATAATACTGCCTCGACGTTATCTGCAAAATAGCATTTTGGTATGATGACCTGAGCATCTGTATAGCAGTAGCAAATGATGTCTTGATTGCAAGCACCTCATTTTTTTTAAAAAAAAAAAGCAGAAAATCCCCTAAACTAGATTGAATCCTTTGAATCATTTGTCTTGTGGCCCACCAAATGCACTCTTTCTGCCATGGCTCTTATATTGAAGCTGATGGAAAGTAGCGGACGAATTATGTGTTACTATCGTTAGCCATGCTGTTTCTTTCTAAAGTCTTGCAACTAATAATAACACCAGTCCACCGAAATACTTGTAAGATAAACTTCTTTCTTGTTTAAGGCTTTGAAAGTGTGTAGGGACACCAAATTTATTATGTAATAATGCAATTGCCAATTACCAAGGAAGAGTCTTTCCTTCAAAGTCAAAGAATCCGCCATTATCCTTGGCTGTTACATTCTCGAGCTTAGCCAATTGACCTCTAATAGAATCAACGGCTTGAACAGGGGCAGATTGGCCTCCCAAGTCAGTAGCAACCCAACCGGGATGACTGGAATACACAATGAAGTTGTCCTTGGCGAGGTTATTAGCCAGCATCTTGACGTACATGTTCAAGGCAGCCTTGGAGATGTTGTAAGCGGGTTGACCACCAGTAGGAGAGACTTGGTTGATAAGCTCAATGGATCCAAGAATAGACGAGATGTTAACAATCTTCTTGACATGGTCTTTACCACGCTTTTGAAGCAATGGTAAAAACTCCTTTGTCACATTGGAAACACCCACAACATTTGTTTGAAAGATAGTGTTCAAATCTTCCTCCAATCTATGAGCAGTAGCGTGTGTTAGTAAATGCCACGTCCATGGTCTATGATTTCCATGTCAAACATACAGATTTTCGGGTCTGGTCGACTTTTCGCCGCCAATACCAGCATTGTTGATCAAGACATCGATGCCTTCTGGAGCGTATTTAGATGCTTCTTTAGCGGCAGACTATCCATTTGACATCTGTCAGCATCCATTGCATACACACAAGCATCACATCAACATTACCTTGATGGACTCATAATCGGTGGTATCCATCTTGACAGCAAAGACGTGCTTGTTGTCAACCAGCTTCTGGAGGTCGGCAGCGTTGTCAGGATTACGGGCACATGCAATGACAGTGTGGCCCTTGGCAGCTAATTGGTTTACGAATTCGAGGCCAAGACCACGAGAAGCACCAGTAACGACGTAAGTAAGAGGCATTTTTTTTTTTTGTATAAGATGTTGAATGGAAAGAAAGTGTTCCGCCTTTAGTTTCTCTATCTCTCTCTTTTATACTTTTTTTTTTTTTTTATTATTATTATTATTTTCCATGACATTCATCAGGTAATGAGATCCTTCAATTTGACGCTGAATCTTAAAATCGTCATCGTCAAGGTAGACACCATAACATGGTGAATGACGTTCTTTCCGAGACATTCTATTCAAGTAATTATGCAGCAGAGTAGAAAAATGCAGCTGTTGCTGACAAATCCAACCTCGTGGAAGCGGGGGATCAAGATTACTACTTTGTTTATTTGACTACCAATTCAATGATGCTCCAGTAAAATCAAAAAACTCGCCACAGTCTTTGGATTGGCAATGCTGAATCTTGTTTAGAATACCCTTCACCGACTCTTGACTTGTAACTGGAGCTGATGCACCTCCGAGATCAGTGGAAACCCACCCAGGATGAATAGCAAACACTATGAAATTCTCGCTTCTCAAATGATTGGCTGTCAAGCGAGTCAGCATGTTCAAGGCCGTCTTTGATATACCATAAACTGGGCCTTGGCCAGACCCTCTGGAGCCATCCATGGCTGTGATTGAGCCAATAATGGAGGAAATGTTGACAATCTTCTTGAGTTGCTGCTCACCGCGCTTACGAAGTAAGGGGATGAATCGTTGGGTGACATTGGACGTGCCAATCACGTTGGTATTAATCACTCTAGTAAATTCCTCCTGAGGTCTATCGTGTACATTATGACATTAGATATTGGCGCAAATCAAGCTGTCAGATATGGGTATTTACACTGTCTCGATATTGTAGTCGCGCGTACTTCCAATGCCAGCATTATTGATGAGAACATCGATACCTTCAGGTGCCTTTTCAGTGATCTCTGCTACAGCAGACTATGCGCTCATACATTAATACATGCTAGTTCTTTCCAAACTAATCTTGCCTCATTACATTGATGGTATCCAAATTGGTGGTATCCAATGTGATGGGGATGATATTATCCTTGTTCTCTGCAGCCAAATCAACAAGCTCTTTTGAGTTGCTCACATTGCGTGCACAAGCAAATACAAGGTCGTTTTCCGAGGCGATCTGCTTGACAAACTCCAAGCCAATACCCCTGGAAGCACCAGTGACAACATAAACCTTACCAGTCATTTTGAATGAGGACAGCAAGAAAGAAACGATGTGAAAAAGGGAACCGCAGTTTTTTTATTATTATAAACATTCTCAATGTTAAACTTGTTACACAACACTGCCATTGACTCATCAAATATACATTGGTTAATTAGATGGAGTAAGGAAGTGCCTTATCATTGAGACCAGCTACGATGTTTTCCAGCGTCATGTTGGCCATATTCTCTCGGGTTTCCATGGTGGCACTGCCGACATGAGGCAGGATCAAGCAGTTGGGAAAAGAGTATAATCTGTGGGTGGGAGGTAATGGCTCAGGAGTTGTCACATCTAGACCAACAGCACCGATTAGACTTTCGTCAAGAGCACGGACTGAGAGACAGGTGCGTTAATAAAGAGGGCAGGCATACATGAACACGACTTACCCAAGTCATCTTGATGTACGATGCCGCCACGAGCAGAGTTGACAAGCACGGCTGTATCCTTCATTTTTGAGAATGCTTCATAGTTGAACATGTCTTTGGTCTCTGCTGTCAAGGCACAGCAAATCACAATCACATCCGATTGTCGCAAAAGAGCATCGAATGATACGTATTCCGCATGCAAGCTGGCTTCAGCTTCTGGTTTTCTACTGCGACCACTGTAGACAAACTTTGAGATGCCAAATGCTTTCAAACGATGACCAACTGCTTCGCCGATGCGGCCTAGACCAACGATGCCGCATGTCTTGTTTGTGAATTGAGAGCCACATAACCAAGTTGGACCCCATTTTCCCCACTGTTGCTATTAATATTCTATGCAAATGCTGCATGTTCAGCTTACCAATCCATCTTCAGCAGCACGGATGCTCTCCTTGATTCGACGGGATGCACCCAGGGCCAATAAAACTGTCAAATCAGCAGTGGCATCCGTCAAGACGTCAGGCGTATAGCCAAGCTGGATGCCTCTGGCTTTTACGGCAGGAACATCAATATGATCATACCCAACACTCATTGTAGCAATGACTTTTAATTGTGGACCTTGTTTTCTTGATTGTCAACACACGCACACACACACACAAACAGACACATTCTAAAACGCGCCAGACTCACCTGCAGCATCCAACACCTCATCATCGATTTTCTCTGTCAAGAGACAAAACAAAGCATCCACACCTTTTACCTTATCCAGAAGGACATCCCTGGGAATAGACGAATCCTGGTCCCATTGAATCAAATCAAAATCTTGCTTCAAAAGACGCGCTTGTGTTTGAGGAGGGATGATACGGGTGACTAATACTTTGAATACCATGGCAAATGTCTAAGTATATAAAAGAAGATGATTTCTAATCCCACGTTCACAAAGATGGTTCAATTTTAAGATGTTTTTTTCTATCCAATCTCCAGTGACGTTGCAATATACACGGTAATAGAGTTTCGTCCAAGTGCATTACTATCAACTTTATTCATACGAGTATTAATCTTTAGGCTTTGCTTCTGTTTCGTAGTTTGGCTGTTGCTGCTGTTGCTGTTGCTGAGCAAATTGTTGTAGTTGCATCTGGTACTGTTGCACTTGATCATTTGTAAATTGAGGTAATGGCGGATAGTATGTATGAGGGTCCATTGGGCTGGCATTGTATTGAGGTTGGTAGTAAGCGGCGGCGGCAGCAGCAGCAGCAGCAGCGTTCGTGTTGGTTGCTGCATACACAGTTTGGTCGTATACAGGGTTGCTGGTCTTTGCGGCTTCTTCTCTAGGCACAATATCAATCAAAAAGTCGCACATGTCAGTTTTGGATATTGCTGTAGCAATGTCGGATCTTTGCAATGTTCTACGTTTGTTTTCCTCTGCATGAACCCTGTTTGATACAGAAAACGCATAAGCAACCCAAGTTGATTCCTCCATTCAGTGGATCACCCTCCTTACCATGCTCTCTTGGTTAATTCAGTAATAAATATTTCGCATCCTTTAGCGAATAAGATGGGAGCCTAATGTAAAATGTTAAGCCAATGATATCACAATGTAATGCAAAAAAAACAAATGTCAAAAATATAAGATCGAGTGTTTTTTTTTTTACCTCTGCGCTGATCATCTATTCAATCAACAACGACCATTTAGTACATTAAACGTGGATAAGAAGATCTTTGCGCGAACTTTACCTTTACATCTTGATCCGTTTTCATCACCTTCTTTATACGAGCTAATGGAAGAGGATGATTCTTGAAATCAGAATCAAAGACTTCCGCATTGTGCATTTCCTCCATCCAGAACTTCCCCAAATCAAACACGGGCTGACCACCGGGGGCTGTGGTGGCATTTAATTGCTGATATGCTTGTTGTGGTTGAGCCTGTTGCTGTTGCTGTTGTGAATGTGCCGATGCTTGAATATCATGATGATGTTGTTGCACTTCATGTGGTTGTTGACTAGACATTTCTTCCTGCTAAAACTCTAATGAGGGGGGGTGATACTGAAGTATACAGGAGGAAAGAAAGAGATGTCTGATGGAGAAAAGTTAAAAAAGAAACGGAAGACAGAAGGAAAGAAAATACAATGATACAAATGACGTCTCCTCCCTTGTTGTTGGCAGTCCTGGGTGTGTTTGATTCTCCAAATGCCTCTGGTTGATGTTTCATTGGTTGAAATTCAACATTGGAATCTCAATGCCAAATGCTGCGATAGATTGTCTTGGTACTATTTGATCTATAGCAATGTATCAATGTCAATTTGATGACAAGTTCAATGGCTAGCGAGTTAGGTATTCAATTGGCAATATCACTAGACAAAAAGTATAACACATAATCGAAAAAATTGCCCGAGATCCTCTCTCGATTTGAGACATGGCGAGGGCCATCCTCAATATCAGGTTGCCATGGCAACAAACTCGCTTAAAATATACGTTGTCATGACAGCACATACCTGTAATTTGTATCTGATTGACAAATAGTGTAGGTGGTTGCAAACCGCATATTTGTGTGACAAAATGATGTAAATGGCAAATCTATAAAGGAGAAGGACAAAAGTTTATCTTCTCCGTTCATTATCTCATGCTTTTTGTTTCATCCAACATTTCATGCATTTTTATATATGCCTATTTGTTGCCTACATTCTGGGTGGCATCACACTTATACCTCTTCTCTTGGTTGTCATCTTTAAACTACAAACCCCCATTGGTAGCACAACCACCAAGCTAGCACAACCACCGTCAGACACGCTTGAACAACAGTTTCATAAAGACGACCAAATAGAGCACAACCAGTTTTACAAAGTTGGATGGCTGTACGTTACCAGAGGGGCTCAAACTACGAGCAAAAGCTCATCTATTGGAGGTATCGTTAAATCCTATTTGTCTGGAAGCAGTAATAATGCGAGAGCTACTAGCAACACAATATCAGCCCAAGATGCCAGTTCGATATCTGTAATAGAGAACAGTAATGGCAACAGTAAAAACAGCTTTCATTACTTTGCCGTCCTAAAATTTAACACGCTTTACTTGTATGACTCTGAGCTTCAGCTAGATTGTAAGAGTATCATCAATGTAAGCAACCACCATGTACAGATATACCCTCCTGGTCTAAAAGATCACGAATTGTACTCGAAATCAAGCCGCATTCAATTAAAGAAGAAAAAGAGCAGCATCTACCTAGAAAATCAGCAAAAAGAGTACTATCTGCACTGCACTCGATGCGTTGATAAAGAAGACTGGTATACCGCTCTGCTGAGAGCAAGTAAACTCGAGCTTACCTCTTCCCAGCATGGAGAACCGCCCATCAAAGACTTGAAAAGATCTCTTGAAAACTCCACGCACTTTGATCAAGATGCCATGAATCATCTGATATCCACCATCCACAGCGATCCCAGCCATTTCGAGTTGCAATGGTTTAATGCGCTATTAGGTCGCATATTCCTGGGCATTTACAAGACAGATCGTACCAAGTCATTCTTTTACAACAAGATTCTCAAAAAGATTGATAAACTAAATGCTCGTAGGCCGCCTTTCCTGGAAGAAATCTCATTGAGATCAGTAGATGGAGGCCACGCAGCACCGCAAATTACACAACCACGATTCATTCACCTCAGTCCTCAAGGCGAATACACTGGAGATGTTCAATTATTCTACGATGGACATTTTCGAGTTGAATTAGAGACCGTGCTTAAATGGAAGTACTCTGATAGACTACCGCCTATTCGCATTGACCTTGTATTAGCCATCACACTGAAATCTATTGAAGGTAAAATGATGGTCAAAATCAAAGAGCCGCCTACAAACCGTGCCTGGATGGGATTTTACAAGAAGCCTAGAATGGATTGGATTGTGGAGCCCGTCGTATGGGAGAAGCGCATTGGATACTCGGTGGTAAGCAAAGCCATTCAAACCAAGATTGAGGAGATCTTTACGGAAACGATGGTTCTGCCAAACATGGATGATATCGTCTTTTTTCAGACTGAAGGCGGTTTGGGTGGCATATTTGGCCATGAAGAAGAAGCTGTCAATGAAAGAACCTTGAGCTCGGGTGTAACAAACTTGTCCTACCATTCCTTGCCTGAATTGTATTCAACTCCATCCGATTTAGTTGTTACAGCAGATCCATTTCCACCCCTTAGTACCAGCGTGTCATCTTCAGCGACTATTCCAATCAAAAAGAGATGGTTCAAAAGAAAAGGCAACCTGCCTACCACTGCCACGATGCAGGAGCAAGTAACTACAGCAGAAACTCGCGATACTAAGACGACAGACGTGGAACGAGATTCCTTATCGCAACAGACGCTGAGATCTGTCATGATATCCACCCAACATTCCAACAATGCCAAGTTGACAAAACGCAAAAAGTCCAGCATTATTACTTGCAACAACCAGAGCAAGAATTCTACAAGACAGCAGTTATTAGCGGCCAATGTTGACCATTCAATTGATTCTCTCCATATTTCACATTCACAGCAGCAGTTGCAGCCAATTCACCAGCAAAGCAAATCTCCCACGGTACAATCCACTAAAGATGCTGTACCCCAACACTTGAATGTAACACACGACAACAAAAGCGCTCTCCATTCAGTACGTTTAAGCAAAAAGATGCTGTCGCTATCAGAACAACGGCTACAACCATCGTCTAGGCTACGGTCAAAATCGCTACCAAGCACCGGCCTCTCGGAGATCAATGTGGTACAAAATAGCGACAATGTTACAAGATAGCAGTTGTAGTAGAGATGAAGACCGATTTTTTTTTATTGATTACTGGAGAATAAAAGAAATGAAATGAAGGCAAAAAAAAAAAGAGAGAGAGAGAGAGAGAGAGAAAGAAAATGGATATTATATACACTAATAAAAATAATCTCTATTTCCAAATGAAAAAAATGATCAATGTATACAAATGGTGTTTGTTTAAGCGGTTGCAGTAGGATAGGCTGATTCTGCGGTTTGCTCAATTGTTTCGACAGCAGAGCCATTGAGGGCAGGTGGAACGAATCCAGACTTCTTCTTTGATTGAACTAAATCAGTGGACACTTGCATGAAATCATCAATGGCTTGAGGTGTGATTTGATAGTGAAGGACAATACGAGTAGTGGTGCCAGTGTTGCTAAAGATCTTGATGTTCTTTGCCTTGAGAGCTTCTGCTAAATCGGCAATAGTGAGACCAGTACGCGAGATATCGATAAAGATCATGTTGGTGTCTACAGGTAAGAGGATCTTGACATCGAGAGATTCAAGGTGATCTGCAAGCTTGCGAGCAAGAGCGTGTGTTTCTGGCATGGTGGGAACAACAGTGTTGATACAGTGACGAGCTGCCACAGCCAACATACCAGCTTGTCTCCAACCGCCACCCATCATCTTACGGATATGACGAGCACGAGTGATCAGCTCCTTGGTGCCAGTCAGCATGGAACCAATTGGGGCACCAGCACCCTTTGACAAACAAATAGAGACGGTATCAAAGTATTTACCGTACTCACTCAAAGGAGTACCACTTCCTTGGCTAGCATTCCAAAGGCGGGCGCCATCCATGTGCATCTTGAGGTTGTTGGCACGAGCGACATCATGAATCTTCTTGATCTCCTCAATGGGCATAATGGTGCCGTTCATGGTATTTTCAAGAGAAACGACTATACAAACAAATGAGTTTAGGATTTCCCGTATGATAGGATGCAACAAACCTTTAGTGATGGCACCACACAAAGTATCCTTGTTGATACGGCTCTCAACTTCAGCAGCGGTCATGTAGGTACCCTTTGCCACTACAGGGACAACATTGGCTTGCGAATGATAAGCAATACCACCACATTCATAGTTGAAAACATGAGAGCGAGAATCACACAAAACAGAGTGAGGAGGTTGGAACAAAAGACATCTCAAACCAAGTTGATTGGAAAGAGTACCACTAGTACAGAACAAACCAGCTTCATGACCCAATTGTTGAGCAACATAATCTTCAAGGGCTTTACAATCATCATCAGTCTAGGCAGGCATGGTTCAATATAAGCCGATCAACTGTCAAGATCATATCCAACTTACTTGGTAGACGTCGTCACCACGAGTAGCAGCCTTCATAATGTCAAACATTTCATCAGTGGGAATGGTAGCGGTATCGCTGGTCATATCAAAGATGAAAGGCTTATCGGTGTTACGGCTGGTGCTGAGAGGAGACATCCTATACTTGCAATTGAGGATGAGAAATAGAGATTGAGAGTAAAAGGAAAAAGATGAAGGAAAGAAAGAAAGAGGATCGAAGCGGGATACAACGGGATTTAATACAAAAAAAAAAAAAAAAAAAAAAAAAAAAAAGAGAGAGAGACGTAGCCTTAATGTGACTAAAATTCCTTGGATTCCATCATCCAGAAAGCCTTTATAATCATCCTTAAGGATGTTGGATGTTGGACGTTGGATACAAAAAGTCAATTTTCTCCTTTACAGGCATTTGCCTTGTCGGGCGGTGGGTTGTCTTGATTGTTTATTTTATCATTTTTCTCACGCTGCCTGTACACATATTTTGAGCCTTTAACATCAACAAGGTTTTTGTAATACTACTTGATTTGGCATGAACACAGATTACTGTACAGTTACGGCAAAATATTGCTCGGTAGTAGATTAATTTTTATTTTCCGCAAATATATAAGATTTCTAATGGCATGTAAGCTAGCTTAGTGCACCTGTCATACAATGGCATCTTCATAGTTCATTTAACACATGCCAAGGTTTCAATACCTCACCTTTCAAGTTTACCCGAAGTGAGGGTTCAACAAAGCCAATGAGAAGAGCTAAATTTGCAGTGGATCAAGTCGCTCAAACTTTTAGCCCCAAGGCCTGTCTCAGTAGACATGTAACATGTTTTCACCAGTTGGCAAGATTGACAAACAGAAAAAGCGCACAAATACTGAATGCAAAGTGAACCGCATCCTAGCTACCAATATTTGAGAATATAAGAGTGTGTAGTGTTATCTGAATCCACACATAAATATGCAATTGGGCATGCTTGAATGTCGGAAGATGTCATGGATACATCATTTCAATAGAAAAACAATCAGTAATTCGGCTGCAATGTCAATTCATTATTTTAACTATTGGATCACTGTGAAAGAAGACAATTAATGCCCAGAAGCAGGCTGGTTTTGTCACCAACCACCAGCCAAAACCCAATTGGGTTTCCGTTTGCTATCTGCTCAAGATTGGTCGGATTTGATAGACTTTCGACTTCATGAATCTCTTTTGTCAAGTTCGACTATAGAAATAGTGATTTTCATCTTATGTCCCTTTAAGCTTTGTAGAAGTACTTTTCAAGGCGCATGCAATGGCGCCAAGTAAGATAGATGTTTTGAATACACTCATTGAGCAACTTTATAAAAATCTCAAAAGAGATTTGTGGCCAAAATGTTCAGATTTTACATATGGCGGTTTCACAAAAGTGATTTCAGGGGCTGCTTTAGATTGAGAGGGGCATTTTGAGTTAATACAAAAGACACTTTTAAATACAAAAAAAAATTTTTTTGAGTTAATACATATCATAGCAAAAGTCTTTGTTTTTTGGGTCAAAACCGCAATTGTTTGATTTTTGGGAAAACCCATGAGGGGGGGTACCTCATAGTTTGAGGTTGATTTTTTGATGATGTTTTTTTAGGCTCCAAAAAAAGTTCAGCAAAGAGGTTTGTAAGCAAGTGCAAGATGAAATCAATTGTTTAGCGCTATCCTGGCAGCCTGAAACAGCTCCTGACTCAAGAAATTACTGCTCAAATGTATCCAATTTTCCATGTGTGTTGCTTATTATTTAGTTGTAAGAGATAGCGCAAGTATGCTGTCTGCCCGTATATGCATTGTTTCCTTAAATAAAAGATGTGGAGCATCGCAGAAAAGCCAGACCCACAGCTGCAGGTCATTTATAAGCGGCCCTTACCTATAGTGTAAGGTGGAAATGCGCAATTTCAGTAATACGGTGTAATGATAGTTTGAGCGTGATTCTGAGTATACCATATAAGTGGCAGCTATTTGAAGATATTTGAGGAAGAGAGACACAGTCTGTGGAGCACAGCAAAAAAAACCAGACTCTGCGATATGATAAAAGCTTCCATTTATGGAATACGTTTATCAGGTAACAATGGGATGAGCGAGATCTGTCAGGTCGATCATTTTATAAATGGCTGCTATGCAAGTGGATGTCATTCCAGAATAAATGCTACTGACTTAATAGTTACTCAACCAATTGATTAGCATACGTCAATAAGAAATGTGGAGTAGCACACAACATGAGAAAAACGTTCTATTATTGATGGATTGTCCTAATAGACGTATACACTCTCATAGATTTTGAGTACCGTGAGACGTTATTCGTCTACGGCTAGGTTGTACCTGATCTAATGATTAGTAAAAGCGAAATCAGAGTATTCTTTATAGTATACGAGTATTTACGCTTCAGATAATTCTTTACCTTCGCTTCACCTTGGTGAGAACCGATCTGCACAGCGGCAGCTCGTGCTACCGATTGCCCTTGCATATCTTACCAACATACTGCTACTTTCATTTTGACTCTCCACTTATACATGAAAGCCCTTCATATTATCTGTGGTTCTAATTCTTATGTGATGCTCTACATCCATATAGACGTAGCTACTTCATATACACTTAGCTACTTCATATACGGGCAAGCAGCATACTGATATTTTCCCTTTTTAGTCCCTAGTGTCCCTGATACAGCAAAACCTAAGTGTATTTGAGTCGTGTTTTCTTGCGTTCAAGGCCGTTTTAGATCGTAAGAATAGTACCAAACAATGGCTCTCATCCAGCAGCTACTTGCTGGCACTTTTACTCAGCTTTTTGGGAATCAAAAAAAACATGGCCAAAATTCGACCAAAAAGCATGAGGTACCCCCTCATGGTTTTCATCAAAAAAAAAAAAAAAAAAATCATGGCTTTCTCCGCTAAAGATCACAAAATAGCAGAAAAAGGTGGGATTTCCAGTAATGGAGGTTCCACGCTGGATTCTAGCCATAATCCAGGCAACAACATTTTTACCTATGCATCACTTTTTCAAGATATCAAGAGTCAGAAGCGAACAACCTTCAACATTGCTCCAGCTATCGACAACAACGCCTCCACAACTGGAAGACCTTTGGACTACAACTCAACATTCGTAGAAGCTAAAGATGACTACTCTCTCGTCATTGATTGTTCTCAATTTGCTGGGATGGTATTCAGAGAGAAGCCCTTGCTCACTTGTCTTCGAGATCACTATTCCAAAGGATTGGGAATTAGAACACGTATGGTTGGTAAGAACCATAAGGTCATTGAAATCAGCTTTCCAAGCCAGGAAGATTGCGAGGAGGCTCTGAACAAGGAACTCGTCTTACAAGGGAAGATAATTAAGGTGAACAAGACTTTGGACAAAAATGCCAACGTCCTCAGAGTAGGTGTCTCTGAGCTTCCTTACAAAACTGAAGAAGTTTTGAAGCCTTTGATGGTGGAGACCTTCCAAAAATATGGGGACATTCTCAATCTTGGTCTTAGCTATACCAAAGATGGTAATTGGTTTACTGGTCGCGGTTTTGTCACTCTAAATAGGGACAAATTAAAAAGTTACGCAGCTGAACTTACCCCTCAGATCCAGTTTGGGAATTTCAAGGAGAAGCTACATTTGGTTTGGAGTAACATGAACCCAATTTGTCAAGACTGTCACACTGATGATCATATCAAAGCTGATTGTCCTCGAACAAAGAGGAAAGCATGTTTCCGATGCGGAAGCTTGGAACATCTCATCGCCGGGTGCCCATTAGCCTCATGGAATAGAGTGAAGAAAACTAATGATCACAACAAACAAGGTCAACATCGCCAGCAAGAAAATGTTGCCCAACCTAAACCTATAGGTAGAAAGGTTGACCTTTTAGATCTAATGAATGTGGACCCTCCTAAGTACCTCAACCACAAGAAGGGGAAAAGGAAGGCTACATCCCTTTCGTCGAAATCCACAAGCGATGATGAGGCACTTTCCAAGGGGGAAGTATCTTCAGCTGACGAGCCAGAGTCTGATTCCGACGCTGAAAATGTCCAAGAACATTCAACCAACTTGAACGACAGCAAGGATATGCAAATGGAAGAGGAAGGTGACTCCCATGATGGTGAATCTCAGGGTGATGAATCTCAGGTTGCTGAATCCGAGGGTCGGGAATCTCAGGCAGGTAGCCTCTCACAAGAGGATGCTCCCAAGGGACATCTCGAGGAGGAGGAGGACAATAATTCCTTTGGTGATGAGGAGTATGTCAAGTCTACTAGCGAGGAAGATAGCGATGGGGAATCTCCTAAGGTTGTTCAGGACAATGTAAGTAGATATAACTTGCGACACTCTGGGCACAAGAACAGTGTAGATGAACCTACTGAGGAACATCCCAAGCGATCTATCGATGAACTGGCTTCTACCCCTCCAGTAGAGGACAGCGAAGGTCCTAGCAAAAAGCAGATTAAACAGCAAGAGACTAACACCAGAGACGAAATGGTCTTGGATGGATCATCAACCACAAACACATTATAATTAATTAATGAGTAACACCAACCAAACTAGAAACATTAACATTAGGATAGGTTCCCTCAATTGCAGGAACCTCAACAAACAATATAACACTAATACAACAAATAGGTTCATCACCTACCTTAAGCAACAAAAGTTAAATATATTACTATGCCAGGAAACAAATATTCCTCACCATTCCTTTGAAAACATTACAACAAATTTTAAATATCAATTCCAGTACCACCAAGCAATTTGGACTGGACAATGTGGAGTCATCAACTTCAATCCATCACTGAATCTACAACAAATCAAAATACTAGAAGACGGAAGAGTTATTCTGACCAAGCTATCATTGGTTAACAATAACATGCCTCCAATTTACATTTTAAATATCTATGCTCACTCTGATGACTACAGGGCGAGAAATCACTTGTTCGACCAAATCATCAGTCTCCTCAACTCCATGCCTGAGATTATCCCTTCTCTCATCATAGCCGGTGACATGAACTGCTGCTTCGACTCCACAAGCCAACGCTATAATCGCCAAACTGGAAAGCCCAAAAGTTTCATTGAATTTTTGAACACTCACTTTTCAGATTGCTTGAACCAACCAAATTTACCGCATGATTACACTTTTAGACGTGGATCGTCTCTTTCCA